GAAGTGTCTTCAGAATTGTTTGAAATTAAGTTCTTCACTGTCTACACTATGCGAAAGTAAGATTTGAAACTCTGCATGATGGAAGCGAGACTAAGACTTACACTACGCGAAAGTAGTAGGCCTGCGATCCCCATGAACTTCGATGCACTGTTACGAGTGATACACAGTCTTTGTGCTGCCACATCCCATGGCAACAAGTTGTGTCCTACCATTTCTACTACAATTTTACCAATCAACACCTCTGAATTGAGAACAATTTTTGGTTTTTATTGAGTAGTTTTATGATCCCGTTTGAGAAAAAATACATTTATTCGTAATATCTTGACCTTCCCCCATTAAGCGAAAACGTGATTTTTAAATTAAAAACCAGACATTTAAAAAAAAAAGCATTTTCATATTCTTTTTTAAAATCGGAGACAAGTCGGCTTAATTAGGCCTATCTGTTTCAAAGCAAGCAAATTTAGCTTTATGTGTGTAAATTTTCATTACCTATTTTTTGTAAAAAACTCAAACAAATTGGAGTTTGAATGAAAAGAATCAAATGGAGTAATTTAATTGAAATCACAAATTAGCGATTAATAAATAACTTCAATCTTTTCTAAGCCCTGGTGAAATACGTGCAGTATAGCGCTTACGTGTGCCTACAGAAAGTTTTCTCATCATAGATAGAGCTGCTACGGTAAAGTATCAGATTTTACTGCGATCTAAGTTTTGTCAAAAAGTGTAGAGTTCAAAGGAGTTTTTACATCACGAAATCAAAGGCCGTCAATTACAGGTAAGAGTATTTCAGTTAAAAAAATGAAAACAAAATGAACATTTTTGTCCTTGGGAAATATGATGATTTAAATCGTATGATGATTTAAATCAGAGATTTTTAAAGAAATCATTTGATTTAAATCTCAACTTCAATCGGTGGTTTAAATCAAGGTTATTTAAAATGGTCAACCCTGCTGAAGGTAAGAGCAGTTGATTTGGATACCAATATAACGTGTGCTCCAATTCTGCAGAGTACAGCAGAAACACAACAACACACAAAACAAGCCAAAACAAAACAGAGGTAAGACTCCACCACGGCAAAAGAAATCTTAAACTATATGGTACATTTTACTCAGGCTCCTTATTGTTGAAAAAGCCCTGAGAAGTTGACAAAGTTGACCAAAGTCGTTGCACGCATAGGATTCCGACATTGACTTTTGATCGGGAGTAGTACTTGTCTATTAGTTTTCTTATTCAAACGGTTGTTCCGTACATGCGCATATTATACTATCTGGTTCATCCTATTGTGGCTCTGATGGGATGTCACGTTGCAAATACCTTGGCAAATAATTTGAAAAAATCATTTGCAATGTCGCAGATTTTATGCGGGCAACTATAATTTATGTTTCCTATACCGTCGAGCTTCACTCTCTGCCTTCATTTTCCCTTCAAATGAAGCTGGAGACGCTTCAAATTTGTACGTAATGCAAAGCGAGAGAGACAGAAAAAAAGCTGTGACAAACGATCATCGACAGTAAGTTAATAATCACTTCGCGCAAAGAGATACTCGCCGAGAAAGTTACTTTCATGCGTGAATAAAGCTTGAATACACAAATTTAGGGGTACATTTATTTCGGGATACGTTTATTTCACGATATCAGCATTCTGTGTATGCTCGCGATGTCTCTAAGCCCTCTCCCCGGTAGGCAAAGCATAGCAATGTCAACAACCCCTCCCTCAAGCGTACCGGTACGTATTTTATGAACGATCCCACTGTCCATCCAATCGCTTGTCGCCGGTCGGTCTCTTCCATTCATTTTGTCGGTCAGTATCCTCTTCTCCCTTTTTGTCCGGAAATGAAATCTACAGTGTCCAGACAATTTGTCTTTGTGTGCATTCGATACTATAGATATTCCCGGCCCATTTCAGCAAAACGTCGTTCATAGGGACCATTTACTTCAGTTTTAAAAAGAATGATTCTTTACACGAGCATTCAGTAATCAAAAGCAGCCATTCGATATGTTATTGGACATTCTTCAGGGAAGTACGTTCATTCAAATTACACAGGTCCTTCGTTTATTCACATTCGCAAAGGGGCTTAGAAAGGGGTTGATCAAGCATTCTGTTTAGTCAATAAGCAATCTTGTTTCACTTATGTTAATTTAAATTAGTTCCAGTGATAAGGGCTTGCGGGATATATAAATCTGATTTCCAAGGAAAAAAGGTTTAAACTGTGGGTCGTGAGACAGCGTTTTGTTAACATGACTTTGCACAAAAATTGTGGCGGCCGGGTTTTTACAAAAATACAATGAGGTTCGTAGAAAGGGAAAGCTGATTAACGCTTTCCACGGCAATAATGCAGAGAAAGGTCTGTAAGCAAGTTTTTCCTGTTTGTGTTCCCCCGCGCTTTTGTTAACTTTATGTATACATTTTGTATGGTCCAATAATTGTATAGGAAACACAAACGGCGCGCAAAAAAAAATAGTAAAACGAAACCGTTCTGATTTGACTCAAGAAAATAGGCGCAGACACACACACAGAATAAAGGATATGAAGGAACCATTCACATCCATCATACACAATGACTAGCAGTAGGAGACCAACAGCGTCAATACTACTAGATTGAATACTCAGAACGCGAAACAGATTTACTGTAAACAAAAAAGAAAATCACACGCAGGTAAAAGATCCTACGCATCGATAAATTTTCATTTGAGTGCATCTATTGTTATAAGCGGCAGCAGAAATTAGACTGAAGAATGGTGATAGTGTAATTCGGAATGCCCACAAACGCAATGGAATGATGGAAACGAAACTGAACGGCAAAGCTAACAAATTGCGTGCACAAAAACGAATGTCGGAAAAGGGAAAAGAAATCCCAATACAAACAAAACCGTAGCATCTGTGCAAAAATGAATACGTATTGACGAAAATGAGTTTATTTTTGCTGAAACTGGCCAGGAAAATCCACATCAATATTTCCGTCCGTTGTCAACCCTTGTCTCTGTCTCTCTGTTCAGACAACCCCTCGTCGTATTTTACCCCGTGTATGATTTCCTTTTCCTGTGAGCCCTCCAAATAAAAGTATATGTACTTCGATCTTCTGTTCTTTTTCTTGTCCTTTTGTTGTCAGTCTGGTCAGTCAGTCAGGCCAGGGTGGTCGGTCGGTCAGTCAGCCTTTGGTCCCTCGATCGGTCCACTGTATGGCTGTAAATAATATAGGCTGCCTTTAGATATCACAGAGGCTTGAATTTGTGCTCCTGCCTGTGAACTCTTGAAAGACTCTAGACCCAGACCAGATCTGCAGAGTCTCTGGCAAGCGGGGCATTGGAGCTCGTTTATCAAGACAGATGCTACTGCACTTCTGTGAGATCGTTCTCGAGCTGTCCCCTGCTGCGCACGTTGCTCACTCTCAAAGGAAGATGTTGCTAAGAGAGTAGAGCTCACCAGTGGGGGAAATCTTGAGCTACTTCCACAAGCTCAGAGGAGTCGATGCTGCACCGCTTCAAGCTCTCTTTAAGGTTGTCCTTGCAGGGCATGCAGGGTCGTCCCTACATGCTCCTGCCCTGTGCCAGTGGCCCCAAACATCAGCTGCTTAATTTGGAATCCCTCATTGCCCATTATGCATGATGACGTGGCCAGACCAACTTCATGGCGCTGCTTGACACACGATTTCAAGCTATCAGAGGCTCACGTGTTTCACTGAGACCGTAAGCAGTAAGCACAACCAAAGGCATGCTAACCTTGGAAGAAAAATTTGCATAACTTCGTGACGTAACAAATGAAATCTCTACGCGCGTGCAACCGTTAGCTCAACCACGCCAACCACTGCCATGAAGTTTGAAATAGTGATAGAGATACATATTCAGTTCTTATGGAGATAGTGCATAAGGATGGCAATTTTTTCTGCTAAGATTAGCATGATATTTCTGCTAACTGTACAGCAGCTCCATGGAATGTGGCCCTAAGCTTTCTGTAGCGTCGTATATATATCAATCAGCGTCAAACGTCATGTCATGTCGGCATTGCCATTAGTACTGCAACTTCTTCCATTCGCACAAAGAAGATTGGGTTAATCTACGATACAGACTTGATGACAGTGTCTCCAATCTTCGGAGGCTCTAGCCAAACACCATGACATCAACGTACTTGGTGTTGGAGCTTCAATGTGCTGATGATTCCGCTGCTATCTCGAACACAACAATTGTTCAATTGTCTTCCCTGCACTGCGTCCACAACCGCATGGGTCTTGAAGAAGTCAATCCCACTAACACGGAATTGATACATGTCTCAGACAACCTCGAGTAACAGCCAAAGCTCGCTATCGGGATTTCTCCCCCAAGAATGTTGACCACTTCAAATATCTTGGCAGTATTTTTACCTCTCACAAAGGGCTCCTTGACGAATCGAATCTCGAATCAATGCTGTATGCTCTTCATCTGGTCGGTTCCGAGATCGAGTTTTCATGAACAAAGACCTACACCAAGATGCTCGAGAGGTTTCGAATGAAATGCCTCCAGAGGATGCTAAGCCTCACATGGATAGACAAATTTCCGCATACACTGTTTCTCCTTCCATGCGAGACGTGAAGCATCGAGACACAGATTATAAGAAGGCAATTGCCCCGGATTAATCACGTTCTGTGACCCAATGCCGCTTATCATCTTGGACTCCGAGCTCATACAAGGACACCGCCTACGTAAGGCACCAAAGAAGAGATTAAGGACTTGCATGACTGTGGTATTCCGCAACCGGACATAGGGTATCTATCACAGAACAGTAACATTTGCAAGCAACTCTGTGATTTTGGTGTTGGCCGTTTTGAGAATACTCGCTGATTCCACCAAGCGCCAGCAGAGGTATCAGTCGCAGAGTAACATACAGAGAACATTACCCTGTCATCCCCAGATTGCCCACGACTTTCTGGGAGTAACCTTGGCCTCAACAGCTACATCAGGGCACACAAGAGAAGAAGGGATCACCATCCTCGACTCACTCGAGGGGCCACCACCATGGTGGTGATGATGATGACGATCCATGCCCATCGATGTCTGCACTTTAACTGGTCATTACCTTCATTATCCTCAGTCGACGTGCTTGTCATCCATACTAAATTGTCACTGAAATCAACGTGATTTTAAGCATCATCATAAAATCATTTATTCTTGCGCATCCCAAGCACTGCCATTCCAGAACTCCATTTCTCCACGGTCTTTCACTCAGTCTTTTCTTATTTGTTGTGCTTTTCTGCTTATCTCTCGTATGGATCGATGGAAAAAGCATTAGATTTTGTGATGATTTTGTAATGCTTGTGGGAGTAACTTCCATGAGGCGCACACCATCAGCAGGGGCGTAGCCAAAAGGGTGTGACTGAACGTAATCTGGGTACTTTGCTGCCGAAGGTATAGGACAAGCGAACACATTTCTAGGGCCACACTTTCTGTTGGCAGCCACCCCTTCTACGTACAGGCGTACGCCCCTGACGGCCCAACCTTTGAAGAATCCCGGCCTCCAGCAGTTTTTTAATACCCCAAGGCTTAACTTAATCTATCGGTTGCACGCAGCAGCAAGCAAAGATGAGATTCTTCAGCTTCGATGGTTTCCTCTTCTGTTCCTCCTTCTCCAGGTGCTCCTCGTCACTCTGCTTCATCTTGTCATTCTTTGCCTTGCTCGTGCGTTTACCAAAGATCCTGGCCCACAAACCCCTTTTCTTGATCTTAGGGGGAGTGTCGATGTTATCTGTACCTGATTGATGGCGACACAAAAGCTGACGAAAGCTTGGGACAGAGTTTCATCGCTTGAGTACAGAATTTCACAAAATCAGCAGAACGTCGATAAGAGCTTGCGCGCAGTGTTAACTCCCATTTTTTTGCACGGTAACAAGTTATCCCGGTTCAAAAGAACACCTTTATCGCCCTCCGCATTCCTACATTGCTCTGTTTCATCTCGTACTCAAATCATCACCATTTGGTTTTTCTTTTACTTAAAAAATACAACAAAAACATCTTGGTTATCAACAAAGTGGTCACGATACGAAAGCTGTCATCGTGAAAGCGCAAATGTCATCTCATGTTAGCTTTCAACGAGTCATGGGGTATATCATTAATATGGTTGCATTTCCTTGGGACACTTTAGTGGCCCGCACGCCGAGAGGTGCATTTGTAATCTTTCCCATTTTAACAGACAGCTAACAGTGGCGGTAATCGGGGAGCAAAATTGATTTAGCAAACGAGATGCGAGGGTGACACACGTAATCATGAGTGGGTCACCATTCGAGAGGTGGAAGGGAGAAACATGGCATCGAAAAACGTTCCCATAAAGTGCCATAAGTCATTGAGACTAAGAGTGAGATTACATGACAGAAACAAACAGGGAGAAACGTAACACCGAAAAAGTTTTTGGTAAAGTGCCATAATTCAATGAGACTAAGAATGAGATAACAACATTAAGACAAATGGCTCTTCAGGGCCAAGGAACCGAGGTAGTGCGCGTCTATAGCTAATAGATAATCCCTACTGCCCGCTGCCAAAGTAATTTCAGCAGTAGGATACAACTGGGACTCAGCTGCTTCCAGATTGGATTTATCATCATAACATGAACATGATCTAAGCCTTACCTTTGCTGACAACCAGTGTATGGTCTTCCTCTGTCGCGGGTTCGTCACTAGTGGTCATCTCATCAGTGACTGTTGCAGTTTTGACATCATCTTCAGTGATGATGCTGATCTCCCGAGGGGCAACTGTTGTCCCTTTCTCTGTACAATCTTGAGGAAACACCAAACATCGATAACAAAAATAATGTGCTCATTCTCTTGTTTTTTTGAAAAGCAAACATTAAATTTGTATCAAGAGTTTACGCCAGTTTTCATTTCTTGACCTCGCTTTTCTAAACACTTCAACGGGATGTTCAACATACTTTACATAAAGGACATAGTACGCTTTGCTCTTGGCTTGGGCCCTCGTCAAGTCTTTATGAACTGATCACTTCGAAACATCGAACCAAATGAGAATGTTTGAGTACATTCTGCATTAAATCTTGCTACGCCATGTCTTTATAGAACTTAGAAATTATAACTTTGCTTGATCAAGTCACATTTTGAACAATCTGAAACTTCAATACAACTCCGAACACTGTTTTCAGTCTTTTAAGATTTTCATGCCGCAGTAAAAAGTACCCTAGATTCACCTACCTTTTTCACCGCCCTCCTTGACAGCATCTCCACCCTTTTCCAGATGACTTATCTCCTCCTTGAGCACCGTCGCTTTATCCTTCTCTTCCTCTGCATCCAAGTTCTCCCCTCTGGACCCCTGTTCCTTCTTGAAATCAGCCTCCCCATCCTCCTGCATCCCATTTCCTTCCTCTTCCTTCTCTTCCAGCTCAGTTGGATCCATTTTCACCGGGTCGATCCTCTCGTGTGGTAAACCCTTCATCAATCCGTCCTGCCTCTCGATATCATCCTGCATGGCCTCCTCCTCTTTTTCCACCTCCCCTGCCTCCTGCTCCTCGGTTTCCACCTGTTGGTCTATCAGGTCTTCTCCCACCTCACTCTGCTTCTCAGGTTTCTTCTGTTCTTCCGAGGTCACTTTCTCCGCTTCTTCTCTCGAGTCATTCACTTCGTCATCTGTCAGCTCCCCATCCTTGACAACTGCATATTCTTCAACTTCTCTTTCATCCTCCGTGTCTACGTGCGCTCCATCTTCAGTTTCTAATCCATCCAGCTCCTCAACATCCTTCCCATCTTTTTTCTGATCCTCCTGAGTCGGTCCCTTCATCTCTTCTTTCTCCTTTGCCTGTTTCTCCTCTTCGCCTGCCTCGACTACAGCATGTGGTGCACAGTTCTCGTCAAACTCCATCCCATCCTGATCCCGTGTCTTGGTCTCCGAATCCTGCAGCTGCTCCTCCTGCACACTTCCACCTTTCTTCTCCTCGCCCTCAGACTTCATCACCATCCAATCCTCTGCTTTCCTTTCCCTATCATCCTCGTTCTTATCCTCTGTCTTGTCTACTTGTACCGTCTCCTCCTGTCCTGCTGCCTGCACACTCTCGCCTTGATTCTCACGCCCTGCCTCCAATTCCAGCTCAATTTCCTCCATTCTCAACATCTCCTCCTTATCCTCTTCTTTTTCCTCTACTTCTTTCTCCTCAACATCCTCTCTCCCTTTCCCAAGATCACCTGTTGCCTCACTTGGCTTTTCCGTGACGCCGCTCACACTACAGCTAGCCCTGTTATCTTTGCACGAGGGTATGCCATGCAATTCTTCACACACCTGTTTGGTTTTAATAAAGTGAGTTTTGTTAAAGGAGAGCATTCTGCCGAGTTAACAAAGAGTGTTATAGTTTTCCGTTTTAATAGCACTCATCTTAGCATGGTGAGTGGTGATTTGTGTTAACGTCTCCTGTGGCAGCTAGCTGTTCAAATCGCATAAATGGGTGAAACACGTAGTTTATTGTTTTTAACCTCTCACAACAAATTCCCTCATAATTTCCAATTTGCAGTTAGTCGACAATGCTTAGTACTAGTTAAATGACACATTTACTGTCTTCTACACAGTATATTACATTGTTCCTTTAACGATTTTGGCTAACTGCCATAAGCTGTATACTTGTACGTAGACCATCTATTCAAAATAAATATAAATCACACACACAAAATAATTAAAATTTATACAACATTACCATTAAACAAGCATGGAATTAAACGCGTCCGAACCCCACCTACATTTTACAAAGCTGATGTTTGGAGTTGCCAATTTTTTTAACTGAACTAACCTTCGTAGATGCAGTGGTGCCACCACTGATTCCACCCACAGCCATCACGGTAACTCCGCTCCCTGTCTGTTCGAAGGGCACAGCGGCACCGTAGATTTCCCTGCCGCCTTCGTTCGCTTCCTGCAGCAGGCGTGCCAAGCCGGCCTGCATGATCATGGCACAGACGGAGTCAGGGTCCTCCAGGGCAATGGCTGCCCGCCTCTCGGCCTGGGCATCCAGCTCCTCTTGAAACTCATCAGTGTAGTCCACGAAATCGTCCACGGACTGAACGAGAGCATTCACGTATTGTACTGCACAGAAAATGGGGGAAAAAGTAAAAAACAATCTGTTTTATTAGTCTTAAATTCAACAAAACCTTGCAACAAAAGTCAATACAATAAACTGCTATATATTTTCAACCGTTGAACCCGGCAATGAATTCGTTGAATGTTACTAAAAATGTAAACGCATCTAGTTTGGATGAATAAAGATTACCTGGATTTCCATTCAGGAGGCATGCAGATTTGGTTCCATTGGTTTCATTTTGTTGCAGACCGTTTACTTTTTTGACTGGAATAACGTGAATCTCGCAATATCTCTTTGGACATCCACAACAGCAAAGTGACATCACAAATCTAGAAGGAAATGTTCCTTCCCCGTGGACGTATTTACAGAAATTGACAGGTTTCCTTTAACTCAATTTCCCTCAAATGTAAAAATGCAAACTCTGAAGCTCTTTCTTATCCTCAACACTGTGACTGTAGACTTGGAAAACTGCTCGCTCTTATCGAAACTCACCTCCTGGGTTGATATCACTCATTTTGAGACTGGCAAAAGTGACGGACTTTGTAGAAAATAATCGTTTTCCAACCGCAAATATGCGTCGATTCCACTGAACGCCAAAGCGAAGCTGTCATCTACACGTGCAAGCAAGATCTGTTTCACGACGGTCTTGTACGTACGCGCGCGTCTCACAATCGGTAACTAACGCTCACAATACAAACAGCGCCACCTGGTGGGCAACAACTTCATTATGAATATTAAAATTCGTAGACTTTCACTGGTCATCCGCCCCTTTTAGTTGTTAGTTTCCTTCTCTTGCAGTTATTTTAGAGTTCATAAAATAGTCATTACGCTAACGTTGGCTAAAGTTTAAATACCGAATTTGACGAATTTTGGCGTTGATAAATCAGTCTTAAAACTGAAAACAAATGTCAACAAATTCTAAGAAGGGGCCACATTGTAATGAACAGAAAGAGAAAAAGTAGTTTCTCAATATTAGTTAATGTTAAGCCAAGCTTTTATTGAATTCAACTAGCCTCCATTTAACGAATATTATGTACCGCAAACCTTAACATCTTTAAATGCAACAATATTTACCAATAAAAATTAATAACATTATCTGGTTTATTATCTATATTACATCTTTCAAAAATGCCCGATCTTAGATTGGCAAAGTTGAATATTCTTCTTATGAACGAAAGTTATGATACTTGATTAAAACTCTTGACAAGTATTCTCGTTGTAAGGGTTTCCTATAAGCTAGCTTTACATTCACCTTGAACCCAAGAAAAGCCAAAACACGAGAGCAAAAGAGCAACCCTGGATTAAAACAGGGGAGCAAAAGCGGATTTTTAGTTCTAGCCGTACCTCTAGTGGCATCAACAACTTTTTTGCGGCATGTTCCAAAGGCAATGCAACGCTCAACACAGCTTTTCCTTTTATTCAGTTACAACATATGGCAAACGACAAAATATCACATTTAACCCAACTATTACTGTTCTCGCTATAAATGTGACTGCTCGGCTCTAGAGAGGATGGTTATAAGTCAGAAAACCTGTCAGCCACACTAAGAAATCACAACAGCTTGTTATCTTTTGAAGACCTAAGAATGCATTTATTTGAAGGGATCTATTTTCAATCTACATGCTGCACACCAAAGCACCTTTCGTTGTCAAGAAAGGACACCGTACTTTTTAATTTCACTTTACAAAATTTAGCATAATTGTAGCAGCTACAGTCGCCCATTTAAATAATGAAAAAGAAACCCTACTTCCGTCTTTAAATCAATTTTCTAAACCAAACTATACAAACATTCACATAATATTTTGTACATCCTCTGCACAGAAGGAATATTCATGAGGCTCGACGCTAACTCTTGTGAATTTAGTCGTTTTTTTTTTCAACCTGCAATCCAACTAGCAGCAGCCACTCAAAATGATGGTTATCAAAGCCGGAACGGAAGCCAATAAATGCCGTTGCAACACCAAACTCCGACACATTATTGCCTCCGATACTTGGCAATACTTGTAGCATATAGTCATTATTACACATTAACTGGCGTATCAGGAGCAATATGCACGCAAGCCGATTGGCGTAAAATTCAGTCAGGTGTTACCTCGAATCATAGGGGAAAAGTGGCAAGGAAAATTCTCAAATCCCAAAGGATGAAGTTCCAGAATTCCATGTCGTCTTAATTACCGAACGATACGGTAACGGTTAAAGTGATCTCATAATCACTTATTTGGAAGATTACTTACAAGCGCTTTTAATAGAAAAACAGGAATACACCTAAACTGAGAGCCTCGTTGATAAGTTTTAAGCATGATCAGCACAGCTGATCAAGAGTGAGTAACCAAACTTCATACCCTTAAATCCGACAAAACACTTGCATAAGACAAATTAATATATCAACGTACCGGTAATTAATACATTTGGGAAGCAAGTCACAGAAATAAAAGGTAAAACCGGTTCTGTACTTGCAGTTGACTGTTAACGGAGTCCAGCCGACGATTGTTTTCCACAAATGTGATTACAGAAAGACGGCATCTTTATGAATTTGGCCCCAACATGAATAAGGTTCGAATGGTGTAAACTCGACAATCAACGCATTCTCTAGGAACGTATACACCTTTTTCCAGTGATGTCACGATCGTACTGGACTGCGATGTGTTGTAATGGTTATGAGTGCATAATGTTGCGATGGTAATCTATCTATTCAAGATAAAGTAGTCAAGCATTCAGCGTTTGCACGTGCGCTTGCACGTGGTTGAAGCTGCCCGTAGGAATTAGGTGCGATCACCGTGGCCAAGGCGGTCCACACGTGGTGGTATTGTTTACATTTATTCGTGGGTGAAAAAGGTCTACGCAGTTAAAGTCCATTGACGAGTGAGAACAAACTTCATGCAACGTACCTACTAGTAGTCACGTGTCGGTTTCTAAAGCAATAAGTATTTGCAGAGCAGACACTCTTGCACAGCACTGCACAGAGGGAAGTGACTGCTCTGGACCACTATGCAACGCAAATGTGGAACGTAAAACCCTGAAGCTATATTTTAATTTACAATATAACGGAAGTTGTGCGTTTCGTAATTTTTTTGTACCCACGGAATCTCCGGACACATGAGAAACTATGAGCTGAAATAAGCATCTTGAAAGTTGACAAAAAGCGATGAAGACTGCAGAGGGACGGACACCGACGATCAATCACTTCAATCTCATCTTGTCACTTTTTTCCCATAGAACGCAACAAACTAACCAATGCAAGAATGTACCTCTGCCGTGACAAGGATACTTTTAATTATGTGATAATTTTGTTTCCAGGTACCTTGTATTGGTCGAGTCCGATTCTGACCAGCTTGAATGGATTAATTGGAGACCCTGATTCTAAAGAATTAAAAACCTGACACGACGGGTGAATACAGGTGCGCTGTTTCTGACAACCAATTAACTACTAACCCTAACTCAGCCAATGCACATGTACATTTAGTCAGTCTTTCATACAGCTAATGCCCCTTTCCCTAATTAGTCTTTGAGTTCCAGAGCCGTTTTCGCCATTCCTCGAACCGAACTTATAAATCTCAAACAAGTTGCGTTTTGCTTCCATCACTAAGTTATGTATTGACAAACTACCCCCCAAAAAAACCAAACAACTGATCAAAAAAGAAAAAGGGATCCTATTCTAGTGATCAATACGCACCGAATCCGTTTCTAATTCTGCATAGCCAATTTAGCCATCACGATTCATAGGAACCATATCAAACGTTAAAATTAACGCTACGTTGCTATCTTGACCACAACTAAATCCATTCCAAAATACATGTATTCACACTAACCTTCAAGGGCCAGGAGAACTTACGTCTGTGTTGTATATTTTGTCCTTTTACACAAAATCTTAATCTGCTAATATCCGCCCACTCGAGCTACACTGAAATAATAAATCAAAACCTGGATAAATCAGCATCGTGTGTAAGACTTTTTCTCCTGCGTTAGAGTTTGCCTTACAACTGTCCATTCCTACAAACGTTTCAAAGGTACGTCCGTCTCATTACCTCTGGTACAGTTCCTCTAGCTATGTACACGTCTTGGCTTTACACGGAGAACCATACACTGCTGCAAGCAAGTCTATTATTTTCTCTTAAATCATGCATATAGTTGTATTTTTTTCCATCTAGCAATGCCAATACAGGCTTATCGAACAAAAATCATAGGCCAGGTCGTGGGACCAGAATACACATATATCGTTATAAACCTCACTATTAACATTAACCGCTAGCCAACATTTTTACACGTTAAACACAGGTGCAAGTCTTGACCGGTGTTTTGTCAAGGAAAGGGGGGGGGTATATGTATAATCTAATTCGCGGTAGGTACTTTATTCTTGCAAAAGTTTAATATTATTTTCATGATTAGGAAATTCAGTGATTTCAACAATATCAGAAATCTTTTAGAAAATGTGATTCAATTCATATGAAGATGATAGGGAAAAGTTCAGACAATTTTGCAGTGAAACACTTCTCAACATGCCCCTAAAAAACTGGCCCATTTATCATTTTCCCCCAATATACACAATAAAGGCAATCTCTTAGAATGTGAACCTAAAAATTTCAATTTAGAACCTGTATATCTAAATCTGTTGCCACATTTACGACTTAGTTCTTAATCCTTAATGCTATCTTACAAGAATCGCAATACAAACTTGCCACATTATGAAGTGATTAATCAACAAGCCAGCAAGTATTCTTTAACTACTCTCCAAAGAAGTCTTGTCATCAGTGTACACACACACAACTCTCATTCACTTTGGACAAAGACAATTCTGTCATCAAACGACTCAACTTAGACTGAATTTGCATCATTTCATTTTTTTATATGGAAGAGAGGGTCTCCCGTCTAAAAAAAATCTAGTTCATTTAATGTTTATAATTCATTAATTGTATACAATCTGATTTCGCGGTCACCAGATACACTCCCCTGAAGACAACGCCTGCTGATAACACATGAAGCAAAGTGCCTAAAGTTAAGACATTATACGCTAACTGGGAACAGTTGTAATTAATAGAGCATTCGGATAAAAGGAATTATCGTACCACATCTAATGCAAGAAAGACTTGAGAGACAATTATCACACAAATGTCGATGTGTACATGGTTCAGGCATCAACTCACTGTATTTCAGGGGTCAGAAATAGATGGGAAAATATTGACAAATTCCTGGTCCACTTGTCTTCAAATCTCTACCTGCACTATACTACGCCATCTGGCACACACTGAAAATCTTTATGAGACGTTTGCGTAAGAAGACTCATTGATGCGGCCCCATTAACAAACTGGCTGTCAGTTTACGATCCTGAGAGTGCTTCTGTCATGAACACGCACTCTTGAAGTCACCTTGCACACAATGAAGAATGGGGGTATGCATGCTGCATGCATGTCTGAAATTACGCGAAAATGTACGTTTGGGTCTACGTGCACCTTCTCCACATGTGTGTGAACATCCAAAATCCACTGGCTTAAAACCGCTAATACTTTGTGTCCACAGTCAGGGTGTAAATGAGGATTGACTGCACCAGTTCATCTTCCTTGGCCTTGCATGAAAAGGAATACAAATGCAAAAAATGAGGTTGGTGTAAAACTGCTGTCAACATTTTGTTCGAATTTCTCTGCAGGTGTGGCTTGCAGATGTGGTCGAGTCCATTAGGCTCAGGGGTGTCTGTTGATTAAGCACTTCACTTTAGCACCAACTTCCCAGAATATCTGCTTGTAACTCGATCCAAATACTTAAAAAACACCTTTGATAAGGAGCCCAACAGCACAGGCTTCACTTAAACTTTCAAAAGACTTTGAGCTTAGCATACAGTAGCTGGTCTCTGCCTTCCTCTATCCTGAAATCTAATGGTGCATTCTGAAAGACCTAAAAGGGATAGGTTTGGAAAACTCTACTGTCTACTGTGCAGACTCGTTCTTTGCACTACTGACTTGGAAGAAGATCGATGGTGGCTTGGGGATCTTGGGACTGACCGTTCTGTTGGGGTGCAGCTGCATTTACATGTTGTAGGCTACGTAGATGGGGTCCAGCTGGTCAGCCAGGAAGCCGTCACGCAGGTGCATGCGCTGCTTCTCCCCCCGGGAGTTGATGGGGATGATGCCTGGGTCCACCATCACTACCACGCCCACGATCAGGTAGTGCTCCTCCAGTACGGCATTGGTGACCAGGGGCACCAGGTCCAGGGCCTCCGACTCCTTGCCGTCCAGCTCCACCACCACCACCAGCAGGTTGGTCCAGGTGAAGACGGCGCTGGGAAGAAGGATGGGCAGGTTAAAAGGAGAATGGGGCTGCTTCCAAAAAAAGGGTCCTGGCTGCGGATTGGCAGTCACACAGGCATTAATGTTGAGAAGCAGCAGAAGCTGGCTCATGGCTTCCACAGGTACAAATGTTCTTGTTGGCCAAAGCCACAACTTTTGGACGCAGCCACATATACGAAATGAGTAGGAACACATCAGTCCCAGTGTTCTCCACAGCCTAAGATTATAGCAGGGCAGCACATGATGCAAGCACGGAGTGCAAAGCCATTACGGCGTGGGGTCCGCGGCCCCCTCAAGGGCAAGGGCCCCGGAAAATTTTGGATTCTAGAAGCTCTGTGGTGCAATCTGAGGTATTTCCTGGGTACTTTCTTAGACTCCTTGAATCAAATTTGTTCGTGTTGAAATGCAGGCAAGATTGTTATCGGGAGGTCATCAGAAGTTGAATTTTTTTCTGGGGCATGTTCCTTTTTTTTAATGATCGGAACTTGCCATCGAGCGGATGGTTTGGGATTACATGGACAATACGTACGTGGGCACAGTGCAAGTGGATGATGCACTGTCACTTCCCTAAATCTGGATCTCAAAATAACTCCATGGCCAGATTCCAGCGACAAAATCCTATAATTCCAGCGAAATATGGTCAGTCGTCCACTCATGTATTGGAAAAACTACAAAATTACTTTCAAAATCTAAGCTTTTAATCTGGACTTAGGGGATCGTCAGAAGTGACAACACTTCTAGTTCTGAGTTGGTTTTACCGGTTTCCAATAGCGACAAAATTTTTCTCATAAAAAAGTCAGCCAGAGCCATTGTAGCAAGCTGATTTTCCAATGAAGAATTTCTTGATTTCGAGGAAATTAGTTCATAAAGAACAATTTCAGTGAATTAAAAAGTGAAACTTGTGTAAGTTTTGACTAAGTTTTTCAGCTGTATACTGCAAGCAATCAGCGACTATCCCCCAGCTGCAGTTGACAAACCGATTACGTCACATACATGTACATTTCTGTATGTATGCCTTTAGTTTTTGGCCAATTTACAAAAAAATGGAAACTCCAAAAGTCATTTTGATTAAACATACACTATATGCAACAGTTTATAGGACTGTTAAGAAACAAGTATTTGGAATCACACATACAGAATGACCCCTGTATTTTTTGGTCGATTCTTGAGAAACCGTTCCAAAATGTCCAAGTTTGAAACAGAAATCTAGCTGGCAAAAAATTTCTTTTCTCGATGTTTTCTGAAACAAACATTTTGTACAAGAAGCTTACATTTCATAATGTTTGATAATGTGATACACATAAGAAGTACTTTTAGAAACAGAAGAAAAGAAGGTTTATTTCAAGTGATCCGGGTCTAGGAAAAATCAGGAACTACACGAAGGAAATTGGCTGAATTTTCTGAGGAAAAACACATCGCATTTGAGGTACTGATTCAGGACACTACAAAATGAAAACGCTATGACTGGGAGATTAGAACCAGTCCAATTTTGTGCTTTTGTACTGTATACTACGTCTGGCATTGATCACTAATGGTGCGAAGTGCTCTTCTTTTATGCTGAATAATGATAGCAATCTCGTCATGTTCGTTCTATAAAGTGGGGTAGAATTCTTTGCATAAACTCTGAAGATGGTGGAAACTAGGGAAAATCCAACAGAAAAAATAGCAGGGCGGTGAGAATTTTGGCAGGGTGGCAAAACTTTAGCGGGGTGGTCTAAACTTTGTGGAGAACACTGAGTCCCTGGACTACCATTTCCCACAACCGTTTAGATATATTGCCAGTATTTTAATATTTGAAATCAGTGTTGTAGTCGAGTCACCAATGCCGAGTCCAAATCCCAAGCCTCGAGTCTGAGCCCAATTCTTGAATCAAGTCATGTGTCTTCTACTTCAGTTTCGCTGGTTCCTGTCAGAGTTTGAACATTGCGGTTTTGAATGCAGCTTCAAAACGGATGGAACCAGTGAGACCAAAGTCTAAGCTGAATCCAATTGTATAGAAAATGCCCATATGAACACCACAACCAGCGCAGTCCAAGCATTTTTATTTACACATGAGCCTGGCCATTTTGCTAAAAGTGTTCATAATTGCGACTGGTTCTGGAGAATTTGACATGTTTGAGGCTGAATATGTTTGAAATGGATATTAAGCTGTACATAAATGGGCGAGGGTAGAAAATGATCAATGCGACGACACTCCACACATGCAAACCAGTGATAGCACGGGTGCATACAAATTACTTTTCGACGGCGTATACAGTAAATATGTTTCATGAAAATACATGACTTGAGTCAAGAGTCACCAAGCTCAAGTCTGAGTCATTGTGATCAAGTCCGAGTCATTATCCAATGTGACTCGAGTCGAGTCCAAGTCATGAAAAATTTGACTCAAGTCTGAGTCCTGGACTTAAGTCATACAACACTGTCTGTAATACATGTAGGTGACTGCAGGAATAGGGGGCTTCTGCCACCGAATACAAAGTACGGAGCTTGGGAAAGAAATGTACTGGTTGACGTGTTGCACGAAATTCGTTGTAGAGTTATTTGTCTCACCTGTCAAACAAGACTCCAAGTATCTAACTTAGCAATGGCTATTTTTGTTACATGTCCAAACCCTGGCTCATAACTGAAAATCTGAAGATCACAACAATAGACCGACTGCACCCAAAAAAAGCTGACGGTTGGCAAAGTACTCTGACCACTGATGTGCTAAGTAACTATACCTATTTTGGTGAACAACACTTAAAACACACTCTCATATGGGAGGACCCCATGTTTGCTGATGTAGTAAAGGTCCATTGTTTTTTTGTTAATGCATCATCAAGTGCGACTTCTGAAAACGTGCATGATTAAAGAAGATACTAAAGTGTGCTGAGTGTTTACCATTCGCAGACATTCTTGTGGCATCGGAGGACTGTGTTCTCAATGTCAATTGGATGGTACCTCATACCACGCATCATCAGTGTCTCGTCCAGGGAACCAACCACAAACAGAGCATCGTGCCGATCTGTGTCGGAGGAGAACAGAACAGACATTTGTTAGGGCAAAGTCATCCAAAGTTGTGACATCCAGCAGTATGGGATGCAAAATTTATGTTAAATATAAGGTTTATGGTAGGGGTCACTCATAATCCATTGGGCACAACCACTGAACTAGTGCCCTCCCTGCCAGTCAAATACTGCATATTTGTCAGTCACAGATCATCCAAACATATTGAAAATTACTACTGTCCTAATACAGACAATAACTGGTCCCCTAGCTACTGTTCAAACGGTGGTTACACAGAGTGCCATGCGTACACTGACATGCACCAGTGCCCCTTGATAGTCAATAATGTTTATTAGTTACAGACCATTCAAGCATAAATGCTGGTCAATATGTGCTTATCAGCTATGACTATGAATCCCTCCTGGTGTGCATAGTTATAAACTATTGCCCTCTCTATCAGTCAATATTAAGCAAGAGATAAATTACTCACCTCCGTCGGCCTGAGTCAGGTCAGTCCTCTTGATGAAGCCCAGGTAGCCTGTCCTGGCGTACATCGTTTGTGTGTCTCCAGTCATCAGTCTGGCGTTGAAGTGGTCATTGCGTAGTGAGTCATCACCGTAAATGGTGTAGTAGCCGCAGGAGTTGTGTGGACTGTTGACCCAGATCTTTGAATGAGGGTGGGAGAGAAAAGTATCAATAAACTAATCTATGAATAGAACTGAAATAACTCATAGGCTGTTTACTTCGTTGCCCGAAAGTTCGAACAGAATGCTCCGTTTTCTATAATGTATATGTCCGTTCCAGAAACAAAGATATAGGGAAGGGACGATGACTTGAGAGAGGATGGCGGCACTAGGAAGAAAAAAGTTCACAGGCAACAGCTGAATAATCGCAACAGGATGGAGAGAATCACGAGTCTATAACCTTGTTTTCTGACAATTCATCTGAGGAAAAAAATCAATCCAAAGTGAGTTCCCTACCTCTCCCAGATGAGAGTCAGCGCACTGCCCCATGGTTTCTGGGTGGGCAATCACAACCTTCACCCCCGGTAAAATCTGAAAAGATGGGGAGGGAAATGAAAAAAAGTAATGCCATCATTTCACAGTGACAGTCCCCGAGCCTCGCTGGATAGGACAACGTGCCTTGATTGCTCTAGGAAAAACATTTCCCTCTGTGAAAGGCATCTGTAGGTAAATGCAACAAGCTGATTTTGAGAAAAGGGCAGGCACTTATGCCATGTTCAATATATTTTAGGTTCATAAGAAGATCTGTAACAGAAATATGACCACTACTTTTGCTCCGACAACAAGTGACCTTCAATTCTTATGTGTATCCTCTATACTGGAAGGGTCATTATGGACAAAGCCGGTGAGACGTTACTGCTGTAGTACAAACAGAAACACTGCATGCGGCATGCAGTCTTAAATTTGTACCATGAGTGAATTTTCGGCGAGTCACAACACCTTCAGAGGCACTTGCAATTATGCGCATACATAGCCTGTACCCCAACGTGGGATTATGCAGTAATGACTCTTAATTCTGGTAATCTGGTTCGTCAACAGAATACATTCTTTTTGGGTAGGTCTGACACTGTCTGTAACGGTGATATGTGGCTCGAGGTATTCCTGCAGGTGGGCGATGGGTTTATCAGATGCTGGTTTACCTTGCCAGATTCCATAAGGCACACACTCTGCGGACTCCCCTTCTCAACGATGGTCACTCTATCGTTACGTAGTGCCCTCGTGTCACAGTACACCTGGGTTGGGTCTGGACTTGAGGCTCCCTAAGACGGGGGAAGAAAATTGGTGGCCCGGCATTTGATACATCTAGTGCAGAAATGATCCCTTATTGCAAAATGTTTTAAGTATCCCTTGACAAGGGGTTCACCAGCAAAAAGTGAATGTGGAAGAATGGCTGGTTGGCTCTGTTGGTAGAAAACAGGAGTGGCATTCCAGGTTTATATAATTCAAAATCAGAAACTTTTCCTTGTTTAGGTTGTAAAATTGATTGTGCTAGTATTGTCATTTTCTTTAGTTTAACGATGAATAAACTTGTACATAAATATTAAATATTTGACAAAGGGTCACACCTGTACAAAAATGCTACCAGAAACTGTCACATGCAATTTATAACAAACATTCAAACACACAGAAATCCACAAGGCCAATAGTAATGGTGAAGTGGGATACACAGACTACACAAGGGAAATTTTCACGTAGTTACTGTGGGTAAATGCAAATAGTAGAGAGGTCAACTTGACACAGTTCATTTGCAACAACTAACGTCAGAAGGATAATGCAATATCTTATCACACTGGCAAATGAGGCACAATTATTTCAGAGGACATTGGACGTCTCCACGTCTTGAGTGTGAGATGAGAGGACAGGCACATGTACCTGAAGTCCAATGGCAACATTGACTCGGCAGCCGAATGAGGTGCTGACAGCTCGGGCAGAGAGCCCCAGGCTGCGGAACAGCTTGGAGAAGGAGTTGGTCAGCGCAATCCTAGGCCTCTCCTCGGCCACAATGACGCAGGTCCGCACGGCTGACAGGTTGATCCCTTTGGCCTGCAAACAAAGGAGACCTTGTCAATCCTTGCTTAGTGCTTGCTCGCACTTTCTTTGCCCTCTGTCTCTGTGACCCAGAGTTACAATCCCATGTGGGCCGGAGTGTGGATCAGGTTCTCAGTCCACCTGACACTGTGCATTTTCCGCCAGGATACATATCTGGGACTTTTTTCTCGCCTCTAAAAGTGAATACTTTATGATTGTCTTCTCTCTACAAATTTCTTCAGGTTTGTGAGCGCCTTTGGTATATTTGAAACATCCTTCGTTGCTTTACCAGAATATAACAATATGAAAATTAAAAACCCACAATGCTCATGTTTTGGATTTTGCTGTAACTGCCACATGAACATGTTCAGTGAAATCAACAACCACATCATCTATCTTTGAGGTTTGGGCATGTTTTCACCCTAATTTTCAGCGGTTCAAAAATGTGCAATAGGTCTGGATTTTTTTCATTATGTCATAGATCTATCATCATAATGATCAAGACAATACAGCATGGGCTGAACCTGTCCGACAAGCATACATACAGGCTTTTGAAAAAAAAACCAAAAAAAACTAGAGTTTTGCATATATCTCAAACATTTCCCACAGCTGTAGGACCTAGAAACTTGGAATTACTGCACATTGTAGCCCTACAATTCAACTTTTTCACCATATTGAAACCTTTGGCAAAACTCCATGGAACTTGGACCATGAGTAGGTAATACCGACTTTAGCAGTGTAGGGCTGTGCCGAATATCCAAATATCCAGATATTCGTTCAAGTATTGAATATTCAAATATTATTTTCCGAATTCGAATATTCGAATGCAAAATTCATGAAACTGAAGGGAGACGTTTCTTTTGTTTTAAATGCAAAAAATTGCACTGCCGAGGCTTGTTACTAAGCAGACTCATATAAAAAGCGACAGAAATCTTGCAACGATTCAAAAACTAATTTATTCATTACAAAATTTTAAAGGACACAAACTATTTTAGTCTCTAAATCTTGCTAAATGATGGCTGGAGATACTCCCAGATGTGAGAAGCAATTACAGTGATTAAAATGTGCAACTTTGTAAGTCAAATATTCAAATAGTGACTTATTCGAATTGACTCAGCCCTATGGCAGTGTGACCCTGACCTAGCCAACAACCATATTTCTACTGGCCATCTCTGAGGTGCAGCGTTATGAAAGCCACAGCGGAGTCTGGTTTAATACCAAAACAAGCCTACCTTGAGCGCTCCGGTAGATTGGCCCAATCCTTTGGTGCAAAGCTCCAGAACCGAGTAGGAGCAGAACGTGTCCCTCACTGCATAGTTGGAAAACACAAAAAAAGGCAATAATTTCACGCCCACATATGCACCATTGATTATCTGTGACTTATCTACATGTAAACTGTTTAAGTCAAACAAAAAGTCAAACAAAAATTACAAGTAACCACCTGTGAAATAACTCTGTCAGATTTTGGATCAATTCATCTGCATAGGGTGTCATGGGACAGACCTATGGGTACATTATATTGAAGAAGTTGGTTAGCACACAAAAACTTAAAAACACCTTTCAAGCCAACACAATAGTCTCTACAGTCACTCACAAGTACTGTATACTGCATACACTGTAAAACAATAGCTCCAAACCAACAGTGTTTGTTGCTTTGAACCTACCCTTATGCTGACTGAGTGCACTCAACCAAAGAGAAGGGTTCGTTTCTATCTCAGCAGGTGGAATTAGGATTGACTGATGTCCCGAATACACACTGCAATGTCACAGAGAAATATGTACCTTGATTAAAAACCATCTACATTACCAATAAATCTTTATTACAATGACAGGTTCTGCTCACGGAAAGATAACCCTTGAGGGTTAAAGGAAAGTTTAATTATATGCAAATATGCTGCAAAAGCCATGATTATCTTTGGCTAAGATTATCTAGATGTACAAAAAATTTGCCTGAAGACTTTGAGAGTTTTAATTTTTGAATATTTAAGTTTAATGTTTTGGATTTAAACTGCATGGGTCGTATACTGTGACCTGAACTTCACTCCATTTCTGGAAAATCTGCACGGGGGTTCACACAAATAGGTTCAAATGTGGATCAAGTGTGTCTCACCTAGTGAGTACCCAAAGGACAAAGCCCAGGCCACTGTAAGGGTCCAGACACAGGCAGACTACCCTGGATGGGTAGAGCTCGCAGGCAAGCTTCTGGGAGCGGCACACTGCACTGGCTGAGGCGTGGGACATCTGCAACAACCAAACATATCAAAGAATTACTGCGACACTTATCCCAACTGCAAGCTGAAAAATGTGATCGATCATTTCTGCGCGGGGGCTAGAGTCCAGTCGCACACACATTACCAACATCTGGCCACAACAAATTGTTGGTGCATGTTTAGCGGGAAGTCCTTTGTGAATGTTGGTGACATCGACAACTAGATAGTCAGGCATATTTGAGTACAGTCTGTTGTTGATTTGCACTGTCAGACGACAGAGCGATGTTTCGCACCACTCACAGCTAGGAACTGTTTGCACCTAAATGCCTCAACAAAAGCACATGTGCATATTTGCCAATAAAGCATGTCTGGAGGATGCAATGCAACACTGGAGAGGAACATAAGTCTGGTACCCAGTATTCAAAGGATTGAACTTTCATTAGATTACTGACACAGCGACCATTCAGAAACTCTTCAGCAGATGACTGATCATGATCATCTGTAATTGGAAATTCTGCCCAAGTAAGACTCCCCTGCGTTGCTAGCTGCGACTACACCACTGACCTTGACACCAGCCAGCATCCCTGTGGTCGACACACTAAAGTCAAGGTAACACATCATCTCGGCGGTGGGAGCCCTGTACGTACCGCCCAGTTTCTTCTTGGGCAGGTCATCCATGTCTAGAAGCTGGGGCCAGGTCTTGACATCAACTGTGCCCATTGCCTCCTGCCGATCAGGAAATAAAAAAATGTGCACATACCATTGTTTGTTTAAAACACAATCATACTAAATAATGTGAATTCTGGGAGTTCGATTAAATAAAAATGACATCCTGGCTTTTCAAAATTTCTGTTCAGTCTGTTTCTAAGCTTTTCCGAGCCTTCTATTTTATGGCCCCTTTTGATATCACACCCAAAGCATTATGGCAGCTTGGGTTTTCCACCTGCCATTTTTATTGGGATTTTCTAGGTGTAAGTCTGTTTATTTCTCCAAGTCCTAGAAACGAGTGAAATTTCTAGCGAAGTGCTGAGTACCAATGGCAAATTTTCAGAAGTCATTAGCTCTGATTTGAGGAAGAAGTGAGTGAAATAAAAAAAATTACCTTTGACTTCAGGAGTTTGATGATAGCGGCTGTGGACAACACTGCAATGGACTTGCTGACTTCCACAATCATGCGCACCGTGGGCAGAGTCGTCACAAGGTTCTGGGGGTGAGGGGGCCGCACAGTCACGGGAACAGCACCTGGTACCGGTTGATTTACAAAGACAGCAACGTTGTATCAAGCACTGGCATAAGTGCGTGTATTTACATCCCAGGAGTGAAATGGGAAATTCAAAACTTCGGATCTGTTGCACAGCAAATGATTTCAACATCAATCCAGGTGGATGGACAACTGAAGACGGACGGCACAACATTTTGATCCCAATGAAATCTTTCTCATTAAAAACAATCTCCGCTAAGAATGAAGTGTCAGGCGCCATTACTTTTTTCAGATTTATTCCAGGTCACTGAGGTATACAGACGTTTGACAGAAATTTTTGTAACTTTTTATTTTCTTTTTTTCAATGGAAAGTGCAGGAGACACTGACCAATGTAGAGACAGCCGTAAAAGGCAGCAATGAGGTCCACGCCAGGGGGGAAGATTAAGGCCACGTGGTCACCCGTGTTGATGCGTCCCTTCTCCTGGAGCAGAGCTCCAATCTTCTCGGCTTTCTTGTGGAGCTGGCTGCAGGTCAGGGCCAGCGATACTGCACCCTGTCGAACAAGAACAATCAATAATCTAAATACCCACACTGCAGTGTTGTCGACTTGAATTGCTGAGGTGGACGTCTGTTGCAATTTATGTGACTTGAGACTTGACTTGGAAAAAAAGACTGTGACTTGATGCGACTAGGGAGAGAAATGACTGGACTTGATTTGAACAAGCCATTAAAAAGTTTTGCAGACATAAATACAAGAACAACCCTTTTAGCCCATGAGAAGTCAAAAATCAAAGCTCACTTTGCTGACTCCCATGGGGAAATTTTAACTTCTGTCAGGTTCGTTAAAAATATTATGATTAAACACAAAAAATTATTATGAAAATCAGAATTTGAATTTCCATTTCTTAAAGGGAAGAAAGTACAATCTTGTATTCAATATCATGTAAAAGAGGAACACTCACATTGGAATTGAAATATAACAAAATGAAATTTAGAGAAAATGAAAAAAAAAACCAAATGTATAACTAAAATATTGGAAAAGCCACATAAGATCTCAGATTTCTCAATTTATATGGAATCTCAAATTTCACGATTTATAAAGAATTTTGTAGATTTTGATTCATAAAACAAAGAAAGTCTGACTGGTTTGATGTCACATGATTACAGGTGCAAAACACATGAAGTGAAGTGAAGAACAGCTTGGGGAATCTTCTCTTTCCAATTTTGAAAAGAAACTTATAAAAGGCAATGGTAAATTTTAAAAAGTACATTTAAAGTTGCGAGTATAAATCATTTCCAAATCTTCATCCTCCAAATGGACGTTTTTGGAGACTGATGTCGACAAAATGTCAAGCAAATCTGTAAAACTGATAATGAAAAGTGTTTGATTTGACACAGAATGACCAACAGCCAAAACAAAGTTGAGGGAGAAATATGTCTACAGTTGGACTCACTTCGAGATTAACATGCACGCATTCTAACCCACAGCACAGCTGTTGTATTTTATTCCAAACTGTCTTACTTTGTGACAAACTGAAAAGGGCACCAACAATATAATATTTATACAAAATGGCTCTGACCTGTGGCTAGGGGTGTGCATTTCTGGATATTTTTGGAACCGGGTACCATTTTTTTTGTCAACATCGGGTACCTTTTTATCAAATGGATTGTTACCTTCAGTTTGTAAATTGTCTTTTTTTGGGTATATGAAACAGAAAAACAAATTTTCACGAGGAGCATCAGAACAGACGAGAGCTGCAAACCACCAATGCACCAGCAACCGCTCATGGGAAATGTCCCTGATGCTGCAAGACCACGTACACGTGGAATGCATGCGCACAGTGTAGTGAGCACTGGTCGTGTCGAGTGCGGACCAGATCAGTGCTACATCCGTCACAGGTTAAAAGGCTTTTCTGTACAAAAATACCTCCGTAACTCGAACAATGCCCTCATCATTATATCCACTTATTTTGAAGATTCTGATTCAAAAAACTGCCACCAAAATGCTTCAAACGGTGTTGAAAGTATCAGAAGTTGATAAAGGTTTAGGATTCATCACTGCCAAATGCATTTCTTTTCTCACGGGGACCAGTTGTATGCACATTGCATAAACCAATGTTACCTGAAACTGCAATCCTGGCTTTCAAGCTACTGAGGCTAACCTGATTGCTAATGCGGGCCCAATTGTAGTCCCCTTCAGGCGGACCAATCGCTGACATTGCAGCATCCAAGTGACCGCAAAAGGGAAGGTCATGTGACCACACGTAGGGAAGCCCAAGTGAAAAAAATAGTACCGTGTGCAGTGCTTTACGTTGAAACAAGACTAAGCGATATGAAAGTTTTGCCACAAGACGGTACCATGATAAAGTGGTTTATTTTAATAAATAATTTCTTTAACTCCATTCACCTGAGGTTCAAGTTGTCGAGATTTTAATGTATAAATACTTCCACAAGTGACATTTGACTGACCAATGGTACTGTGACCTGTCAACATTTCCCTTTTCCAAATGAAAGAAACACTTAGATTTGAAATGCTTTTGTGCGCACAGAAAACATCCCTCCTGCTTTTTTGTTCAATTCCTCATCCACAGTTCTGCTGAATCACTGAGGAAATTCATATTGCTTTAATTTAAAAGTAATTTTGAAACTGAAGTTTGAATGATGACTACGGCATATTTCTTGGTATCACAAACTCAACTGGTTCTCTGACTCTTTGGGTTTATGGCGCACATTCAGTGCTTTTAATAGTTACCAGCTAATAAGAGGCTGATGAACAGCACAATTTGTGCGTGCTCACTACTTACTGCACGTGTGGAATCTCAGTACCGCTGGCATCTTACACAGTCCGCTCTAGCTTCATCGTCAATCCCAACATAAAGTAATTTTCATTCAAATTGTTTTATTTGACAAAACTACTCTTAACTTAAAACAGTAAGCACTACCACTTCCGCACAAAAGTAGTTTGGGCCGACAGGGTTTGAAAGTTACAAATACAGTCAGGCAAGTGTACATCAACTGCGTTTCCACCTCAGAAGACAAAATTCCTTCAGTCTCTTGTTCATAGGTTTGGTACAGTCATTTTCCTAGTTCCGAATCGCGAAAATTATTCGGTAAGATTGCAGCTACAAAAATCCTCAAATTTGAGTGAAATATGGTCACAAGTCAACTTTATGTTTTGGAGATACATGTAACTCAATTTTTTTTTTCAAAATCTAAGCTTTTATATTTGGATCACAGGATTGACAAAAGTGAAGACGACGCCTTTCCTAGTTCTGGATCGATTTTGGATCGAGACAAAAACTTCTTCACAAATAAAAAGTAACCATGCGAAATATCCATTTTCAGCCAAAACCATTATAAAAGGTTGCTTTTCTACTATAAAGAATTCCAATGAACTAAAAAGTAGAAATTGCATAATGTTTGACTTGAATTTTCAACTGTACAGTGAGCTATCAACAGTACGCCCCCCTGCGCCGCACAGTTGACGAACCCATTACGTCACATACATTTCTGCTGCATCCGAGTAGTTGAGTTCGCAACAAATTTGCGTGGTAATGCGGCACGATCCGAAAGTAGGGAGAAAACTTTCAGTTTTGGGTCAATTAACAAAAAACAGAAACTCTAAAAGTCATTTTGATTAAGCAGACATTAAATGCAAAAGTTTATATTACTATTCAATATAAAAAAGCATTTGAAATCACACGTAGTGAGTGACCTATCCCTCCGTGAATTTTAGTCGGTTTTTTCTCTTTTGTGAACTAGGAAAACTCCCGAACTAGGAAAGCGACTGCAGTACAATGGGCGGTGTACATAACACCTCAATCTCGGAACTGACGTTTCATGTATGACCGCGGGGCCAGGTTTTCAGCTGCACAGTGATTTTTCAGCAAGTCTGCAATTCAGTATGAAATTTTACAGACATTTTATACATGGATGTTTGTTCCTAATTTATTTATTTTTTATACGGGTACCCGGCCCGAAAAAATGGAACCAGGTTTTGATGTTGACGGGCAGGTACCCAGGTACCGGTACCTGGCACAGGCCTACCTATGACAACGGCATAAAATGTCTCAGCGGAAAACATAAAAATGCACCATTCATGTACAGTAACTTCACTCATTTATGAAAGAAAAAAATGGGCAAATGGAGTAAAGGTCACCATCTAAAACTGAAACGCTTACCTTATTGTTGAGAAGAGTGAAGAGTACGTGGTCAGGGGTACTTTGGGCACGCCATTTCAACACCTCAGACAAGAACTGATACTAGAACAAAGAAAATAATACCATAACGGCCAAGTTTAATTGGGAATTCTTTTCAGTGGGCCTCAAGGGTTCAAATCAGGGTTACAGTGGAGTATTTCGTGAGCACTTGAAAAATCACTTTTCACTAGATACCACACACACACACTGGCCGAAGGCCTTCCAACACGGACTAGCGTCATCTTTGCAATTTATCAAGTCATGTTAACATAGTCCTGATTTATTGCTCTGTGATACCCAGCCCAGGTATACCTTTATCTCTCCCAAATAAAAATTCTTAACGACATCAGGAGAAACAATAGCCCCAATTCCCTGTTTGTAAGAATAACGTACTAAAGACTCAGGAGTAATCAAGCACTAGATATGAACTGGAAGCCGAATCAGACCCTGCTGCTTAATAGTTTAAGCAGAACAGTTGTCTTTACTTCACAGCATCAAATGTTGCTTAAACCTGAAGCACAACGTCATGGTGTGATTGTGCTAATGGTCGCACTCATATAGAGATTTCCACTTTGACATAAAGTTAAACAACTTCTTTCTTGGAGGGTGTCGTTTTGCTGAGCTCACTGCTTACAGTCGCCATTAAAATTCACGGAGCCTCTGTTAGTGTAAAATTGCCTGCTTAGCAGTGCTATGAAATTGGGTCCAGCAGTAAACTTAAGCCCAATTCTTCAAGATGGCTTCTGGTGCAAACCATGGGCAAACCCTATTTTACCTTCTTAGCAGCATCATTCTCGTCATCCAGTGTTCCAATGTCACGACCCGATGCTCCGGCTATGCGGGACCCGGCCACCAGGTTGCCCATCATGACCGAGGCCGGGCCGATGTCACCCGGCTTGGTCCGGGGCTTGGGTAGATTGGTCACACAACTGCAGAGAATGGCCATCGGTGAAACAATCAATAGGCATTCAACTCCTTGGATAACACTTCTTGGAACCTGTTCTGATTGTCTTATCATCTGCTCCTCCACATGAACCAGCACTTAATTCAATCTCCAAGGTCCAATCTCCAATTAACATCCCCGACATTAAATTACATCTTGCAAAATCTGAATGTTCGTATTAATTTTTACGGTGGGAAAAAATATAACGACTACAAACCATCCAGCTGGGTTTTGAAGGCAAACACTCAATGCATCAGTTACAGTATATAAGTTGTGTTAGAAGTTTTGTTATTGCCTTTTCATACAATCCCAAATCATGACAAAGACCACTGATTTTCATTAAATTGTTACATTTCCATTCTATTCCTTCTATTTATGACTGTCAAGTGGGTTTGCTATCCACTGATCCTCTAACTTCAACCGACCAGCCAACCCAAGCAAGCTTGAGGGTTGAGTGGTGAGCTTTCTGCACTTGTAAGCTTGAGGTTGTGGGTTGGAGTGCAACCCAAATAAAGCTTTTATTTGTTTCACAAGCGTACTCAATATGAGTGCAAAGTGTTTATGAATATAAAGGGCAAGACATTTATGGAAAAATTAACATCCCTGACATTAAATTACATCTTGCAAAATCTGAATGTTCGTATTAATTTTACGGTGGGAAAAAACCACATAATGACACAAACTGAACTGCAGGGCTAATGCCTTCACACTGACTGCTCCTGTCAAAAACTGTTGGTCAAAAATGGGAAAAAAAATATCAGAAGATAGCACTTTGAACAAGGCATTTTATCCCAGCGACTTGGATTTCATATCTGAGGAGACTTACGTGTGGGGACACATCAAGACGTTGGTAGGGTGGAGAGACCCTTCTAGAAATCGGTGCTTTGTGTCAGAAAGGTGAATCCCTCCAAGTGGGGTCTGAAAACAACGAAGGATCAATCTTTTTAAGAGAAGGAAGAGGAATCTTGTACAGAATGTCATCACTTTCCCAAGGAAATTTCTCAAGCATTAAAAAAACCACTCATGCTTCGTCAATTATTTTTATCCCCAAAATATCTTCACAAAATATGAAATATAACATATAACTACTAGCTCTTTGAGTCAAACTTTTTTGGGTTCAGCTTGTTTCAAGAGGTCCAACAAGATGGGAGAATTTGGAGGATTTACCTTTGGGAGTGAGTTGGGAGGGACCAGCGCCAAGCAGTACACGCCAACCTGGTGAATGCTGTCTATGGCTTGCAGGACACGACTCATCCACTGGAAACACTGTAGACAGATCACAAAGAAAGTACTTGAATAAGCATTGTTTGCAGTGCAAACAAAAACAAACAAAAAACCACCCGGTAATGGTCATGTATGGCAATCATGCCATCCACTGCATTCAGGACTGTGCAGCCCTGCCAAAATTATTCTCCAGCGGACTCAACATCTCAGTTAAAGCCACTGGATCTCAGCAGAGTGATGGACAATAAATTGAAAATGGGTCCCAATAAGAAATGTACAGGAACTTGAGCTCTGGAGCTCGTAATTAGTTAACCTCAAGTGGACTTTATGTCTGTACCTCTTCTTCGGTGGCCTCTGGTCTCTGTTCAGCTATGATGATCACTCGTTCGTCTCTCAAAACCTTGATGGAGAATACAGCAATCCTGAAAGGAGACAAACGAAGAACTTTTCCATTCACATTTATGCCATTCCCATTACGTTTGAAATTTCCGCACTTAACTGAAACAACCGCAACGACCTTTCTCATGAGAGATGCTTTTTCTTTCCATTTTGATCAATATCTCACGTTCTGGCAGACCCTCACCTCCCCCTGAAGATGAACTTCATGGGCTCCACGGCCAGGACGGTGGCGATGATGTCATCTGTGTTGTGTCTCCTTCCTCCGCACACCATCAGTCCGTCCACCTTGCCACACACGAACACCAAACCGCCCTAAAGAGAGTACCAAAAAATGGGGCAGTCAGTTCATGTAATCACTACCAGATGTATCAGAAATTTTGGAGGAGATATCTCTTTTAGCACCAAAACACAGAGAGTCCAAATCAGGAAAATCTTTTTGTTCAAATCAGCTATAATTCAATATTGCAACAGATGCTGGATTTGCCACAACAGAGGACAAAAGGTAATCCCTTGTACACCTACAACCAGTGGATCCAACATTGAGAACCCAAAGTCTGGCGGGCTACACAGTCTAAAGAAACTGGACTATGATGTGAAACTTGATCTTCGATTGAGTCAACTGTCTGACATGAGTGAAACACCTAAAACTGACTTGATAGCACTGCGACTTACAGGTCCTAGGAAGCCCAGCAGACCAGTTCTGACAAAACGCTCACTGCTGACTTCACTCCCATCATCCCCGAGTGGAATGACCTGAATGAGTAGATTTCAAACAAAGGTAAGTGAGTAATAGGGCCTCTGACATGAATGTAGGAAAGCATTTGCTGAAACTTATCACCCCTCTTTTTAATAATGCTTTGAAACTATCAGACATCCTTTTAGATCTACTGACAAGTAAATTATACAACACTTAAAGTTTGCCATCTTTTGCTGAGAGTTGTGGGAACTATTACTGTGATGCCATTCTAGGGAAAAAGGACGGGGTTTACAGAGGTTATTCTGTTCAAATTGCGAACCAATACCTTGGTTCTTGAAAACATTTTTTAAGGGGACTTTGCTCACTGGCTTACAAATATGAACTGAACAAGGAAAACCAACAAGATTACAAACTATGAAGACAAATTTTTGAAAGTTTGGCACTAAAATGGCTGTAACATTTCTGGAATTAAATCACACTTTTGTCAATGAATATGCAAGTTTCATTGGCAGAAAAACTAAATGGCTTCAAAATGCCCTTCAAAATCAAGAACGATAAATAAAAATGGGGCCAAATGGAACACAAGGGTGGATAATTTACAATAACTGTGTTAAATGTTCTGTTGCATACCTCCCTTCACACTATCCACAACAGTCAATGATTGTATCTTGTGAGTTACAGCTCAGGAGATTGAGGCCTTGCAGAGTTATGACAACCAAACTACTCACATTGAATGTTGTGTTAGTCTTTCCCCTCAGCCCCCAGTAGGAGGTTCCGACGGCTTCCGAGGCAACGCACAGCTCCCCGATCTCATCTGTCTTGCACAGCACTGGTGGCCCATCCACCTTGACCACAACCATGGCAGCTGTTAAATAGTGAAAAAAGCAATGTGTTCACGGTTACTTCCCAAGCCTTCCTCAATAAGAACCCAACTCCTTCTACACAATCCACTACTCTGCAAGAAAAACAATGGCACAGTTTTAATACTGAAGTTTTGATGGAGTATGGAGTCCCTTGTAAAGTATAGTGGCTGGGCTTGACCTTCCTTAACCGTGCAAAATCCTTTGAAACCTAATGCTTGATTAAGAAGAGTCAGGGAACATGATCCTTAAATTCATGGAAAAACCAAATCATTATGACTTCTTGCCACTTTCATCAATAAAAATAAAGCAATGCCGATGTGACAACCTTTACTGCCAACATGCGCATGTAATTTGAATACCAGACTACCATGTATCAGTGGGTGGTACAGTAATGACCGGCAGGGTCTAACAACTTACAGGAAGTGTAGCGTTATCTAATTCTCATTACGAAGGCCCAGAACAGATTCCAAGTTTACACTTACATCCTGGCATGACAACTCCAACATCTTGCAGAGTCAGTGAGGTCAACTTGTCGTCGGTGTCAACCCGAACGACGCCATAGCTCAGTCCCGCCATCGACAGCACACCACGACCTGAGGCCGTGCTCCCGGTCTTGCCCGGCCTGAAACCAGAGATGAAATCAGTTCTAATAAGCAGGGACTGCAACAGCAACAGGCTCAAGCCCTTGTATTGAGCATGTTGGCTCTATGCGAAAGTGTGATCCCTTGCCCAACAGCACCAACAAATATACATCATCAATAAATTAACTTTGACTTCCCAGGGTGTGTGTGGAATCATATTGAAATTGGAGGATTTATCCTAGTTAGTTGGGTTCAAAGACATTTAACCACCCTCACTCCTGAATACACACACGCTTCGGCATCATCTCGGAGCTCTTTTGTGCCCATTTAGTTGAAAATAGAACTGTAAACCCTCCTAGACCTTTACCCTCCCAAATCAGATCTTGCAAATGACGTGTCCCTTCTTGGCTGAACATGAGATAAAGCTTCCAGAGAATCTCCAGAATATTACAGACACCATCAAACAAAAGCAGTTTTGGATTAAAAGTCACACAGGATTTTGAAAAAACAATAATCTAAGAACCTTCTTAATATGTTCATCAAACTGACAACATCCAAAGAACATGTGAAAAAGTGATACAGTTTCATAGAATTTCAGGCGATGTAACAATCACCAGTAGGTTGTTCTTGGCATGGTAGCAGCCATCGGTGTTAATTAAGAAAAAGGTTTGAATCAAAATACCGCTCTACCTTCGCAGGGACACGGTCAGTGCTTCTGGGGCGCAGGCACAGGGGCACATGACCTCAGGTTTCAGGCCCCGACTCTGGAAGGTACTCAGGAATGCATCGCAGGAGGACAGGGACCCTGAGACAATGCAACAATGCAGGTATAAACAGGTTTACTGAATGACCATGTTCAACCAACCCACGTAAAACCCTTGCTCTGTGGATGATGCACCTTGATCTTTCACAAGCCTTCAGACAATACTGAGAACACTGCACTCATCAAAATACACTGGTGAAAGGCAAAACACCCTACACAAAAATGCCCTCTCTCACCTTATCTACCCTATGGGCCCTGTCAAGGCTAGATAGTTAGGGCCTGCAATGCACGTTGCATGAAGAGAGGAATGAAAGGGTCTCCATGCCAATATTATTACTGAAGTCACAATCATTCAAACAACAGTCCACCCAGCAAGGATGTGTTCCTGCATGAAAAATCTGTCCTTCCCATTTCTCTGTGCCACAAAAGAAAAATCATTTACTTACAACGACAAAGGTCATTTTCAAGCACTTTTCCACAAATAGACTTTAAGCCTCAGTGACAGAATTTTACAACATTTTTTGCCTAATCTAAAGTTAATAATAATTTATTTTTTTTTTACACTCACATGGGTTAGCCCCATCAGCCACAAGCAGCATGCGCAGGTTGCTTAGATTGATGTCCTTGTGCTCCTTCTGGGCCATCAAGCCCCAGTGCATATCCCGAGACTTGACCACGGCCAGAGAGGCTGAAACCAAAAACAAAACAAGCAAGGGATATGTCAGGTGTCAATCACAGGTGTACGCTTGGGTAGATCGGTGGCATGACCATCAGTTGGAACATCATGGTTCCACACCAGATTGGTCACCGGCTGTGTCTTCTATAAACAAATCTAAGAAGATGCTATTCCTGCGGGGGCTATCATACTCAAGCACAAGTTTTAACTTGACCGTCTGTGTGCCTTTTAGCAAGTTGCAACAACCTACTGGTCTGAGAGAAATGGAACCAGTGCATTACTTGCATGCGTGCACAGGATGGCCCCACAGAAATGGCTTACTAGTTCTACTTCTAGTGTAGACTATGGAAAACTCTACTATACAACCTTGACACTACATCCTACACGTGACATGGTTTTGCTCAAATATCTTCAAAACAAGAGGTCTTAATGAATCATTGAAAGTACATGTAAGCTTAGGCAGGAAGCTCTTGAGAATATGTTTCAGGTGGAAAGACAATTTAAAACCAACATTCTTTCTGGGCACATTACCTTTGTATTTTGTGACCATGTGCATCCAGGACGCGGGATTCACTTTCATCAGAGAGTACGGCACAAAGATGACGTGCATTCCATTGAACACACTCTGAACACAAAAAGAAATTCAATTCATCAAATATGTATGTGCATTTGAGAAAACACTCACATCTCTGTGTTTACAAGTCAGGGATGCTTGTGGTGGTTTTCAAAATTAAGCTAAGGTTAACTTTTACTTTTTTTTTTTAAATGGGATCAACACTAAGCCTGAATTGAATTGACTTGGCTATAACTAATTTTTTCTTAGGCTAGACAAAATTTGGGTTAGGCAAGAGTTTGGGGTTTTACAAGCTTTGGGAAGGAAGGGAAATCATGTTCCACAATTGTCTTTCTTTCATTATATAAAAAAATGTCACCTTCCGGGGGGGAATGGGGGTAAAGTAAGAGCACAGCCCAATTGGCCCCCGCTTCTGGATCAGCCAATGAAACTAGCTTATGATCGCCAACAAAATGACCTTGTGACATATCAAAGTGCTGCATTGTTACTCGGTGTCTGTGATAAAGGTCTGTGCAACCGCGCTGTAGTGGAACACTGCAGAAGTGCTCACAACTACTTCACCGACACTCGTAACTGCTTCACAAGTGGGCACAAGTACTGTAGTACCAATGTACACTTAAGCCACAAGCTATGCATTCATGAACTGCAACAAAGACATTCCTTTGTTACTGTTCGGCCGCATGTACTTGTGAGGTACTCAACTATAACACTGCTAGTCAAGGACACTCACAGCTAGTATGCTATGCCAGAGACCCACGTCTCTCTTGAAGTCCAGCACGTTGACCATTGTTTCAGATTCAGAGAAGTTGCACGCCACGGTCAGTGTGCGACAATGGTACAGCATAGCCTTCCTTGTCACAGTGACTCCCATGACGCTGCCATCTTTGTCACTGGTGTACTGTCGAGCAATGCAGAATAACAAAGGAGACGAATTGTAAAGTATGACAAGTAATTTGAGGCTGCTTGAACAGAAACTTGCTTAGCACACAAATATTGGCTTAGCAAGAACAGGTTAATAGTAGTCACAATTTCACCAGTGTTCACGGGCTGTGACTAGTTGCAAAGCTAACTTCTGCTTCCTATCTTGATGAAATTCCCACATTTAACCCCAAGAATGCTGCACAAAGAGAGATTGTCAACATTCAAAACATCTGTGACATCCAATTGAATATACACCTGTACTGATTAGCACACTTCCTGTCCTCGCTGTAACCAAAGTAAGAAAAAAATGTACTCTTACATGAGAAATGTACATTTATTCCTGTGCATATACATAGCAACTCACAAACAGCCGGTTCCAGCGAGGAAACGGTCAAGGAACTCAGCTCTGCAATGCATGAATTTTCATTCCCACTCTAAAATCAGCACCAAGTTATTAACGATCCATATCCAATTCATTCCAATGTACCAGGAATCAAATACTTGTGATCTGAAATTTACAGGGGCTTGAAGACTCTATGAAAGTGTAGTATCATTCCAAGTTTGGGTTTGGAATTGGTTTTCGTATGGCACTCCTAAAGCCTAATCATGATGCGGACATGGGTGGAGAGTGGTAAAACCAAACTAATCTCACCTCAATGTAAGCAGGTGCGTCATCCGCCATGCGTGGGGGCACCTGCCAATCCTTGGCGGGTTTGCTCAGGTGATCTATGACTTGCCAGTTCATCTTAGGCCATCCTGTGTATTGAAAGACAAACTGAAACTCTGTCTCTGTGCTTATACATATGTACTGAATGTAATCAATACTGTGAGCTTTCAATTGCAAGTTGCCGGTCCGAGGTTCTCTGAGACAATACATGAACGTGAAATCAAAACTGGTCAAACAGGTCATGGAAAAAACAGTTCAAGAACCTTAGATCTCATATATCCTTAAAATCCTGCCAAGCAGAAAGTTGTTATAACCAACAATGCTATGAGGAGCATTAGGCAATAAACCAACATTCCATTCGCAGCTCCATTTGCACAACTAATCACTACAATGAAAAAAAAACACCAAAAACCAAAAGGCAAAGCAGGTTCTTCGCTCAGATTTGAGAGTCAGATGACTGCCCATTCTGAGAGGCGGGGAGATCCACTCAACTGCACAAAAACACTGTGACATACATGTATGTAGCTTGACAAAAGTTCACTCGCTAACACCTTGCCCACTGCATAGCTCAGAGGCCATTGTGTTAATTAAAACCAATCGTTTCACCTTTTTTCTCATTTGTCATTTGTGGCACCACACTGCATCAACTGAAGTTCTTACGTGAATCAATTTGCTGTTCAAATCAATTTGCTGCCGTATAATAGTAATTCACTACTTGAAATTCATCCTCTTTCCCCGTAATGATTAATTTCTATTTGTTTAAAATGTGTAATGTATCTCAGGGTGACATGGCCAAGAACAAGCTTAGGCTTTCTATCAGCCACTGCCATTCATCCTCTTTTGCTGTATAGTTTGTAGCGTGGTGGCAAACTACCTGTTACAATGAGAGCAATGTTACGAGATACATCAAATTCTTATGACGTAACTCAGTTACAACACAATCCCAACGATCGCTTTACCTCGGAACCTGATGATCTCCCCTTGCTGTGTCTTGGGCAGCTCCTTCAGGCAGATGGTGGAGGTCAAGGCAACAGTCACGCCAAGGCTCCCCAGGAGAAAGCCTATCTGCTGGCTGCCAGCATCCTGTGGGGAACAGTGGGTGAGATTGGAGGGAAATGAAGTGGCCCCAAAATAATCACTGGAGGTTTTGGGGCCTCCACAGCAGTGTAGGGTATGTGGCATACATTCATGTTTGTCCAACGTTAACAGTCAGACCCCCCTACATGCTTAATTCTTGTTTTCTTTATCAACTGTTATATGTAAAAACACCTTAAAAAGGGAACTCAAAAGTTTCTAGATTTTAAAGAGATTGTTTGACAAAATCCTGAAAGCAGGAAAATCCAGTTTAAAAAAAATCCTGAAATCAGGACAAATTAAGACAAGATCGTCAAATCTCACCTCTGTTTGGACATATTTGTGAAAAATCTGTGGAATCTTCCTCAATGTTTTCAGTGTTACTTTTCTCAGAGCATTAACGGGGCAAACTTTGGACAAAAAATAGCCGGAAATTGCTCAAGCTACTTATATAATAATGCAAGCTAATAATGCAAGCCCTTAAACCCAACAACAAACAGCAATTATTACTTCTTTTGAACACAAAATGCCTGTATTTGTTACGATGTCCAACTGAGTCACATGTCAAAAAGAGATGATTACATTCTCTCAAATGCACCTGGAAACAAATGCATCACAATGTACTTAAGACTCATTGATCACACACTTTGACAGTGTGGACAGATATTGTGGTCAGCTCTCTACTCCGCTGTTATAAACCCTTTAAATTATGTCTTGCTACAAACTGAAGGGCCAAAAATGTACATGTATTCTGCAGTCACACAAACATACAAGTTAACGTTGGACAAAGCTAATGAATAGCAAACTGGTTTAATTGGCTAAAGAATTCTTGTAGGGCCATGTGACAGTGTACACAAATACAAAATGGCCTGATGAAGAAAACAGTTCAACTGGTGTAAGCTAATTTGGAAACTTTCTGACTCAGCATTAAAGGGACTCGTCATGCCTTCACCCTGTGATGGCATAAAGTCCAAACAGAAATTCTTAATATCAAACCTTTCGAGACAACGGTACATCAATGGCAACGGGTACCACGCCTGCAATGAGGCATCCGTACATGGCCGTAATGAAACCAGCCGGGTCCGAATTTGGAAACACAAGGGCAACCTGGGTACAACCAACAAAGAAAGAGTGAATGAAGCCAAAGTTAAAATTACATTTATCATTAAGCATAGAAATTCCAGGAATACAGACATGAATCGGTGGTGGAAAACCAGATGGATAATGCATGCTAAAAACTTCAGGAAATCTGAGGACTGGGCGTACACACACACAAATATTTGTTGAGGATATAGAGCCCTTCCCAATGCAATGTGAAATAACTGACAACATACAAGTATTTACAATTTCAACAGCTCACTTGCTTGCTTTTGCAACAACTCACAGACACACAAAGTGTACACAAACAGACTTGTTGCTTTTAGAGATGGACACATTCCTACCCTGTCTCCAGGCTTGAGTTGTGGCTCTCCTTTGCTGCCGATTTTGTGCAGCAAGTAAAAAGCAAGTTTGTTGGCCCTTGTCAGCAGCTTGCCTGTGGGGGGGGGGCATTACGAATACACTAAAGTCAACAACATAATGTACACACACACAAGGAGTATCAGAAACACTGAACCCTGTAAGCTCATTAAAATTCAAACACACCCTGTGGGACTGGGATAAAAAAGCTTTTCACAGTTCTTTAAGATTTTAAGCCCTGAACACCTAAAAGCACAAAATTACCACAACTCGAGCAGTTCCCCACAGTCAGGACCTTGAGTGCTACTGAAATTCAACTGTCAGTGGCAATCTTTGTTGTTTTGGACTTTTGAGGACTAAGTATGTAAAAGCTACAACCCTAATTTGGTGGATTCTGAGAGCACAGGTACATGAAGTCGGCAGAAGTATAAGATACATGTACCGGGTATGTTTACGTCTCTGAAACGTTAAGAGGATGGCACTTTGGACTCCTTTAATTCTAGACATTTGTAGATGGTATTCAACCTTTGTACAGGTAATCTTCAACAGTGGGACTTCGTGTAAACGGACATGTATACAATAAAATCACAAATATGAAATGCACTCTTAAAAGGAAAGTGTTCTGAGGACGTTGAAAAAACTTATTATGAGTTCTGTGAACTAAGTTTGCACATTCATGGTCAGAATTGCATATAAAAAGTCAATACGTACACTGAATCCGTTTCCCTGAAAAAACCCACAAAAGCTTTGTCATGTTTGTTGTCAACATACATGAGTAATTGAATTCATTTCAAGGAATTCCTCTATTGCATGGCATCCGTATGGACAGGGCAATTTTTCTTTTATTTCACTTTCATTTTCATGTGCATGTTACGCAAAATTTATACTTAAAGAAAATAAGGCTCATAAGTAACTCTAAACGCATGCACATGTACATATATTGCAATTAATTTTTGGATAAAATGTTATTTATACGTATAAAAACATTTACTTTCACTGATAAAGAATATAGTTCACAATTTGGTTCACTTGAATGTGGAATACATGATTCAAAATAAACAAAAAAAAAAAACAACTCACGGTACCATTTGAAACACTCACCATATGTAAGAGTGCAGTTGACTTTACCATTGGCATCCAGTGATGTGACCACGGTGGCCTTCTGGTGAGCGGTGCCATAGCGCTGCAAGGCAGACTCCAGATTCCTTGGCAAGCCTGTTGGTATCTGTTGAAGGGGGGCAAAACCGAAGATGTGCTTTGACCCTTATTATCTTATGTGTATTTTAGTAGTGCATTGAGTGGCACAATTCAGGGAACAGTACGTGTCCAGGGTAGAGCAAGGCTTCCACTTTGGGGGAAAAGTTAAAACATACTTGAAATCACAATGCAAACTAAGGTATTTAGAATCTGCACATGAACTCACACTGAGTTGTTCTCCAATGGCTGGGGTGATTGTGTTTCCTTCCGGTTTGGGAGCATTCGGGTCCATTTCTGTCACTGCAAGAAAACACAATATTAGAAACTGCAGAATTGAGATACCTGTATCCACAACGGCTGCAAATCCAACCTGAACTGCTACCTGGTGTACGAGTCAGTGCGGTATTCACACAGGCTCCGAGTGAGGACAGATGAGGCAAATTGCAAACTTTCTATGCTAAACGGGTCAAGCTTGCCCATAAAGTTTCATGTAGCTACATGTATCAGTGCAAATACATGTACATGTACAAATTGGGCTAAACCAATTTCCAACTACGGTTAAGTGTGCACACGTACAACACACGACATGTACCTTATTTATAACAACTACACATATTGGTACCCCCATGTGTGTAGAAAGATTGAAATGCCCTTGATGTGCACGCAGGCATGAAACTGGAGCTCAAATGCCCTCCAAACAACTTTAGACATGTATTTTTACCACCAGATAGCCAATGCGCACGGAACCCACAGAAATAAAAACATGGGCAGTACCCAGTATGTATACATCATTCTAATGATCATTTATACATTTATCGCAAATTTCGAGAGATAAATTAAGAAATCCCCAGAATAGGGGAAATGCATCATCTTCCCACTGGACAGGATATCTTCGGCTACGCTGGCGCTGGACGCAATATCTTTCTTTTATGTAACAGTCCATGGTTCCTTTGGGAACTGTCTTACTCATGGATTTACCAGATGAATTCACCAAGGGCAACCTGTGTGCAGGCTTGCACTGCAAACAACAATCCGGACCGTACTTCTATTGCTAGGAAATACATACATGTACATGTGCTAGTTACTTTTATCAACGAGATTTGTATGTCAACTCCAATTACTTATGAAAAAAGGAGGAAACTTGGTCTCACTTGGGCAACAAGTGCACTGTGCATAAAGACATGTACATTTGTGATAACCCCCGATAAACATGTCCAAACTTGACCTACATGTAATTGTAGGCCATCAGGATACACATGCCTGTGCTATTTTTACTTGACCTGTGTTTCTGTGACCTTTAAAATAGTAAAAAAAACATCAAAGCACACACAGCCAAGTTCTTTGACTAATTGAGCCCTACTTTCTTTAGGAAGGTACAAGGGCATTACACATGTACAAACTGTAGTTCAAAAAATGTGACAAGATTACGGTACTATGGAGAACCACAGTTATTTATTTATTTACAGTTTTCTTTAAATAGAGTAGTTTCCTCAGTTGTAGAACTGCTGTCCTTGAAATCCCTGGTTTTTGAATTTTAAACAATTAAAAGCCGCAATTAAAAAATGAATAAAAATTAAAACTTATTTAAATGTCAAGAAAAAAATGTAGAAATAAAAATAATAAAAATGTAAAAATAAAGATAAACAAGTCAGAAGTGTTCATCGGGCAGTTATAACTGCATCACACAATCGTCAGCACTTTCAGGCATCATGCATTCAAAATTTACCTTAGCCTTACCAGAGAAGACAACAGAAGAAAAAAGGATGACACAAAAAAAACTGAGAACAAAGATTCAGCACATTTTACCTTCTAACTCATCGTCGTCTTCCTGGAAGAACTCTTGCAGAGGTTTCCGCTTGGGTCTCTTCAGGGTGTTCAACAGTTGCTGGATCTTGGCGGACACTTTGCTGTTGGGCAGAGCCCCTGGGACAAGTTCACAAAAAGTGTGTAAGCTGAGATTGACTTAGCCATTTCAACAAGGGCACGTCTGTTAAAATAATGCTGGGTACTTGCCCAGCACACTTGATGAAATACAACATTCAATTTTATGGCCTGCTGAAAAAAAACAAAAACATACAAAATACAACACTTACACGCACAACCAACTAAAGCAATAAAAACCAGCCCTAATGTCATGCAGAAAATACAGCCTACATTCCATGTAAATGTAACAGGGTATTTTGCCTACATGTAGCAATACATGCATGGTTATTAAAAGTGAATATTTTTCGTACTTCAGCAAATATCTGAATCCAGGATATTATGCCCCCAGGCAAATACTCACAGACATATATGAACATGTGTATTCTGCAATTTCAAGCCCCCTAGTTCTTTGAACCGTAATATTCCAAGACCTTCAAACTACTCTGAAGGATTTGGAAGATGGGACAGCAACAAGAAAGCAGAGAACAGAAACTCTGCATGGGCCCTAAGCAAGCCTAAGCATTTGATTACAAAGAACGTGCCTCCGGTTTCCTGGGAAGTGGAGGATTCTGCAGCATCTAGGTGGCTTTGAACCAGAAACGCATCTTGAGGGATTTCAGGTAAAAAAAAAAGATTTCTGCAACACACTGGCCCTGATCAAATACTCAATGACTCTAGGCTTAGAACATCCACTGTGCCCTTGACAAATGTACATTAAGTCCTACAATACAAGCAACACATCGTATGGTAATGTGGTACAGTTTCCAGTCTTAATACAGGACTTTGTTGGTACCACAAGCTCCTAGCGGCAGTCACAAGATTTGTGGCACATACTCTTAGGGCCCCATTCTGAACTGGAAAGAAATAGTTAATGCACACAGAACACACTCAAGACTACTGTATTTGTGCAACAAGTTTTCAGGGCCAACACATCCTTAAATTTCACAGAATCTCTACGTCCAATTTACAGCAGATTTATTGAGTGAGATTTTTCAACAATTCTTCTGCCAGTTCCCATCGTTTAATTTTGACAATTGTGACATTTGGCTCTGATATTGAAAAAGTGCTAGGAAACCAAAGTTCCTTACTGTAGGATGCGCCATCGTGCTCGTCCTCCTCTTCATCATCGTCCAATTGTCTTGCAGCGATGTACCCTGAGCTAGTTGTGACGTCGGGAGGGGGCTGGGCTACCGGCATAGGAGAACTTGCCACTGACAACGATAAAGATGATCAAAGACCTTTATTGTTTGGATATCACAATGGTTCCAGTTTAACTCTGACCAAGGGGATGGAGGAACCTCCCCCCATTGTTTTTCACTACATTGTCACAGCACATTTTTTCATAAGCAAACCGTCATTCTGACACCAATCTTGTAAAATAGGATAAAGAGCGTTCTTGTAGTGCTCATTTTTCTAGAATAGGTGAGCCATAATTTTTTTTTTTCTACTGACATGCTTGATGCAAGTAGAACGATAAGTGTGTGGCCATAACAACAAAGCCGTTAAGTTGGAATGAGATGCATTTCTACTGATCCAGAGTGTCTTTACATGCATGCCGCATTTTAAAAAGCTCTGACAGCTGTGAGATGTTTAAAAAAAAACTTTTTTAGGGGAATATGCGATGACAGTTTAAGATGTCACCAACTAGACTGGACTTCCCAGGTTTACTGAAACTAGAAACAAAGGCTTCACCGTGTTCACTGGGATTTGCATTTGGTGTGGGGGGGGGAATTCAACATGGCAGCTCGAGATACGGACAAATTCAAAGGACAGACTGTTGTTGCCAGAGCTCTGAAAGTCACTTTGACTGTGGTGCTCTGTGACAGATAACATGGCTGGCTACAAATCCATAAAACAGGTGAGGGCTTGGTCACGTTGATTCCAAGGGCAACATGGTTTGAATGGCAAATGGATGAATAATTTGAGGTACTTGTATATGTGGTATCTATCTGTAACGTATCGCACATGTACAGTGTTAGGTCTATCAGTGTAGATGATATACACAACTGAGTAAAGCTTTTGAGCTTTGAGAAATTTAGATGTGTTCAAGGATAACCCTGTAACCTTAAAGTACACACCAACACTATTTTGCTCACAACATTTTCAATTGTGAATCCTATATACACCGTAGTTGAAATACTGCACGTGTCAGCTGAATACTCAAGAAGAACTCTGTACTCATTCTCGCACTCATAAAAAATAAAACTCAATTACAATACCTGCTCAACATGTAACTGGAGAAATACACTGCATGGCATTGTTATTCTACTAGTAGGTAAGCTTTACCAGTCAAAATGACATTCGCAGGCAATCCATGAAGGGAATGCTCAAACATTCATTTGTGGTACTCACTGCTGCTGGCCACATCTAATCTCCTGGCCCCGCCCCTACCGAGGTGGCCATTGGCCGCCTGCCGATTCACCAGTTCGCTGAAGCCCGGCTCCATGCCCGGCAGGCGGAAGCTCCCTGCCGACGATGGACGACTGCCACTTTTCCGGTCTCCCAGGCGATTGAGCGATGAGGTCGAGGAACGAGAATCGTCATCTGTGTCGGAATCTGGAAACGAAAAAACAAACAGATGCACGACGTGCAATTCAAAAACAAAAACACAAAGGTACAATGGCATAGTTTGTGACTCAACAGACATGAGACATACATTTACGAACACAACCAAGTCAACAGGTGACTCTGACAAACTCGATTTTGAAAAAGCCAGACCTTTAGACTAATAAGCAGGAAGCCGTGGGTTTGACTGCCATCCAAGCTAGCTTGATGGAACTGTTCTCAAAAGCTCTTGGGAAACATACCACATTTGACACATACAAGTGCAAATCAGGTAAGGCTTAAATACAAGTTTGGTCACAAGCACTTGTTAAAAAAAACAAAAAGCATTGTGCCGAGTGATTTTTGGAAATGTAACTCATAGAGAAACCAAAAATGTTGCTCTAGACACATTGGCCTGTTTATATTTATTATGCCTCCTTTTGGCATCATTGGCTTTTTTGCAATTTTGCGAAAAAGGCATTCTTTTTGTTCTTTTTTTTTGTTCTTCTGCTCAAAAGCCCCCTTTTTTTAGTCATTGCGACTTTAGTGCTTTTGCAACTTTGGATCTTCATCAAACTTATACCAATGCAGAACACTTATGCATAGATGGTCCTAGAAACCTAACGTCATGATGATGTCATCAAGTGATTTATTATTGATTTTTACATATTTATTTTAGCCCATTGACTTTGTACACATTTTCAAGGCACAATTTGGGTTACTTTGCAATCCCCAATCATCATCAAAGTTACAGCCGGTAGAGACCATGATGCAAAATTATTGCCTAATTTATGACGTCATGATAATGTCATCACCTTACTTTATATTGATTTTTGAATGTTTAATTTTTCCCCATATGTTTTGTACATGTTTTTTCAATAGCCAGACTTCGATACTCTTATAGGTCTGACTGGTTACATATTAGGTGCTTGCTTTTAGACCATGAGCTAGAGAAGGTCCAACATGATGACGTCATCATATGTCACGTGACTTGACATTAAATCTGTAAACTTCAAAGCCTCATATCTCCTAAAGGACATGTCCGATCTGCTTGAAATTTTGCAGATAACTAGAAAGGGAAGTGTTACAGACAAAAGTTGACCTTATGTGAAGATGATGTCATCTGGAGACAAGTCACGTGACATTAAAGGTGCACTCTTTAAGGCCTATATCTCGTGAAGTAGATGCCCTTTTGGGTTCAAAACTTGCAGATATCTTGAAAAGGGAGTGCTTTAGAGGAATATTGATCTTATGTGATGATGATGTCATCAGGAGACAAGTCACGTGACATTAAAGGTGCACTCCTTAAGACCCTATATCTCCTGAAGTACATGTTCTATCAGATTGAAACTTTGCAGATAACTTGAAAGGGAGGTTTTATATATGAAAAATGACCTGATGTGATGATGCCTCAGTTGTTCAAATGTACAAAAAAATGCGAAAAAGCCCTCTGTTCTGTTGTCAGACAGCTAAGCTCTTTTTTTGTTCAGTCTTTTGATGATGAAGTAAAACAACAAAGATGACCACTGAGAGAAGACCACAAGTAGGAGGGTTTCACACCCTGATGATGCAGCTGATAAACAATAGGGAACATTTAGGGGGAAACATTTATCTCATGACAAAATTGATTTGAGTTTGATTGATAAAAAAATCATGTACAAGTCCCATGACTTTGAGGCACACACGTACATACATGTATGCAGATGAAACATGCTCATTGGTTTATGTATTCAAGAACGTGACATTGTTGAGAAACAAAATCACCTATGATAACAGGCCTCAGGGGGAAAAATTGGACATTACAATAAACAACAACAATTTCAGAATGCAAATTTTCGGATCTACAGGTATATTTATTAACTGCCTACCTTCTCACTGCCTGGGACAGTTTTCAGAGCTTGGCGGTTCATTGGTACAATATACATGTAGAACAAAAAACTGGTTCACTGTACTTCTCAATAGACCGATTCCGCCTGCTAAGTCATGTGACCTACATGTACATCAAGTGACGTGAGTGGGTATCAAACATCAATAAACCTGGAATCTTCCCATAGCAAAGTGTGCTCTGAGTGTTGTTTACCAAAAATGAAGCCAATTTTCTGTATAGTACTCAGCACATCAGTAATCTACATGTAAGTAATTTACCGATCGTTGGCTTTGCTTTTGGTAAATTACACTTATGACGCTCTTTGCTACGGGATTACACCATGTTTGTTGATGTTTGATGCCCACTTTAGGTCACGTGGCTTAGTGGGCTCAATCGGTCTATTGGAACTTGGATGATAAGCTTTTTTGATTTTCTCGTACAGTATTTTTTACACAAGTACAAGAATGCATAGACACGTGATAAAACTTAAATGGTAGTCATGCTAGTCTATGTAAATGCTGCCTCACCTGGTGGAGTTTCAATAGGGACTGCACTGGTGTGGAAAGACTGACGTTTCGACGGCATAGGGAGGGGCATTTCTCGCTCGCGATGCTTTGCCAAGGCCACCTTGACGGCCTCCTCTCGAACATCTGTACAGAGGAGATAGCACGAATTTCACCATTACAAAACCATGACAGGATCCCACAGAATGAGTACACGTACCTGTATAGATACATGTACTGGCTTTTTACTAACACTACATATGCTTCAAGAAGAACCGCACCTATTCCTCTAACTCAAACTCATAACTGGGACGTGACACTTGTTTGATGTGATGACAAATGTGTACCAGTATGTGTGCGTGTATGCATATGGTGACAGCTTGGGGTGATTCCTAGAGACCTCCACATTTGTTCAAGGATTGGTGACACAAAAAGTAGCACTGAAGAGTTGCTACACTACATGTATGTTGCGTCACATGCGTCCAATTTTTAACCAACTCGGTTCAGATTTGTTTTAATTTAGTGACATAAGATGACAATGTGCCCACTGTAAACATTTTGCTACACGCTACGCGAGGACTTATTTTTAATGTAAATAGCTGACCATTCCAAAAGTAAATTTTAGCTTATTTAAAACATACAATGGTTCATCTCTTGTAATATTCAGCAAAACACAAACACAGTGTACAATGTACATGTCTGACATGCACACAATGTCCATGTAAGTGTTCATGATAAAAACAAATCATACCATACATGTATGCATAAAGCACAGTTAGGAGAATGCTGTACAGTACATATTCCTGCAAATGTAAATTACCATTCGTCACTGTTAATGCACATTAAGACAAAACTGCATATTAACACGAAAACTGCACACAGCTTATTTACCTGAGCGATATCTATTCTCTGGTTCATGATGTTCGTATCTGCGGCTTTTGCCACTGCGTTTAGCAGCAGCTGCAGCACTTGCCTGCTCTGAAACTGCAGCAAAGGATAAAAAGAAAATAATGTTACACACAACAGCTCCTATGCGTTGGCTAAAGTGCATGTACATGTAATGGGCTGCAAGTCTTTGATGTAAGATGTACATGCATAAGAACGCCCAACATTAAATGTGTGATTTGGATCTCACTAATGACAGTCATAAGAATTCCTACACACAAGTCTGCACATCACTGTCCAAACAAAGCTTAAATTTTTTTCATTATGTGACATTCTATTGCTGGGTGAGAGTCACAGGCAATTTAAATATGCAGTCAGATCACAGTGCATCAGTTACAGACATATTGTGTGAGAAGAAAGTCTTGAAAGCTGCAGAGTAAGCTGTGCATGTGCTTCAGCAGCTTCAGCACATGTAATATTTATCTAACCTACATGTTCCTACAATGTAATTGTCAGGTTATCACTACCGGGTAGCAGGAGACATTCTTTGATACATGTACATGTAAACATGATAAATGTACAATGTACATGTACCATACATACTGTGCAAGAACTGTGCAAATCAACTTGGACAAACCCGGTATCTCTTACCAGTATTAATGCAATGTCTTCAGTTATTCCAGTAATCAGTAAAGACATTGTCTTTTGGGCCAAACAGAGATAAATTTATACATCAATCTGACAGCAAGTACATGTACTTACATGTACACGTACATGTACATGTAATAATGCACATTTTGTTAATCAAACCATAGGCTAAAGACAGATATTTACAGCCCAAACCTCATTATTAATACTGCCAAGTTTGATACTTCTATTCAACATTTTCAAGGTCAGGTCGTGACTCAACTTGGCATGCTTGGAGACTAAGTCCTCAACAGCACAAGTCAACCATCTGTTTGAACAGTGAACAGGGAACCGTGTGCCTCTACCTACATACTGTATAAACAAACTGTACATATACATGTAACTGAGAGTCGCTTGTAATAACACAAAAATCAGCACATGAGAAAAGCGATACAAGCCAACTACACTGTCAGCACACTGTCACATGTGCAGTGCACGCTCATGCGCAATGCATCTGTGTACATGTATGTCCAGTACATTTCTGTCCCATGTACACATGTACATGTATGAGTGCCTACGACTAATTGGATTCTGGTCACAAAGACATGTGAACAAAGGAACTACATGTACATGAGAAACTACATGTACATACAAACATATACTGGACCTAAACATGTACATATGTAAAGGGACAAACCTTCCAATTGATGCATGAAGGGCTCAATGAGCTTATGTTTCTTTTTCTCGTAACCTTTGTGAGTGATGTCACCTGTGGGAGAAAAAAAAAGTAATGAGTATTTTTGTACACACCACTGTTCTGAACTTTTCAGCCGCACTGTAACTCAAAGACAAGGTTACATCTGATCATTATGTCATTTTTCCCTTCTGCACCGAAAAAACACGAATTGATGACAACACCAGCTGTTTCCAGCATGTATTTGAGCTTGGTGCTGCTTTCTTGCTAATTGTAGTGCCAAAGGAACAAACAATTTCTGCCCACTATTTTATAGAAATACACAATTGCGATAAATTTGAACATTCTTGCTCTTTTTTTTTTAACTGATGAACACATTCCTCATCTCCCTACTGGCGCATGAAGGATTCTGGGAGTAGATTTGAATTCAGATGAAATCAGCAGAGTAGAGAAGGTACAGTATTATCAAACGATCTGTACATTTTACAGAAAAGATATATCAACCTTTTCAAAGTTTTGGGTACATGTAGCAACTGAAAATGGCACTCAAAGAGAGCTAGAACGTGCAGGTACCATGTATTTGAACTCATTCATTTCCCAGTCAATATGACTTCTGAGTGAGAACCAATATACAATGAATTCATAGGCTGAAAATCAAGAAGAGAGAAATAAGAAAGTGAAAGTGCACGGGTTCGATTCCTATGACGGTACATCTGCATACCTGTAATAATACATCAATGAATGAGGATGACAGCACAGAACCTGTCCATGTTGTGGGGTTGTGGTCCCAACCCTGTGGTGGCCCAGCATCATACATGTACAAATATAGCACCATGGCCGGCCGTGACGGTAGCTGCGCCACAACACAAGTAGTCGGCCATGCTTTCCCTGTATGTGGGTCATTCTATAAATTTGGAGTCCACTTTTTGCCTGTCCCTGTTACGTCTGGCACTTGATTTTCAATGTTTAGAACTTATTGTTCAATTTCCAAGACTACATAAGTACTGCAAATTACCTGCCAAACAAATAACAATAGTTTGAAATCAATTTCAGTGATACATCCCTTGTCAAACTTGTCAGATGGTATACATGTACATGTCAGAGGTAACAGGGATGGATAAATGTCACACTTTGGACCCCAAATTTATAGAATGACCCATATCCATCGCTTTCATAAATTCATATTGCTTGTGAAGATGCTGGATATTTGTCTTTTTAGCAGTCCTACAAAATCCTTGGCACATTTCTTATCTGTGACAACTAGAAAGATTTAAAATCTACCCTCACTGAACCGAGCATTGTTCTGGAACGATCAACTCAACATGTTACTGCATGGAAACCTGACAACATCGAGTCTTGTGTTTACGAGATTCCTGTCCAAAACTACAGGGGGTACATACATGTACATGTACGCGTACCGGTATGTACAAACAGCATGAGTATGCTTTTTTTATGACAAATGGCAACAAATCATGCACTTAAACTTGATGGACGGAACAATCAACGTGGTCCACAAGAACCTTGCAAGAACATTGCATTTTGAGCATGCCTCTTACTGCGACACTCACATATTCATGCATCCTACACATGCAGTGTTCACAGCCTGACTTTTGGGGTCAGTGGCATACATGTATAAATGTACATACATGTATATCATTAATGAACATTTCAGCAATTGGTGAAAAGGGGCCTCGCGAGAGCTCATGTTTTGGAGGCTTTTCAACCATAAATGGGAAAAGCGTTCCATTTTCCATATTAATTATGGAAGATGGTCTTGTCACCTGTTGTATAAAGGTTATAATTAGGGAAAGAAGGTTCTTTTATTGCCTCTTTAATGTCTTGCCCTAACCAGTGCAGCTTGAACAATCCTCACATGTACATGTACCCGGTCATTTGTCATTGGGGGGGTATTACCATATGATAGTTGTTATGGTTTGGTAATTGTTAATTTAATGTATATGTATATTTATTTGTTCAATTAACGTAGATGTACTTAAGAACATGTACTGTATTATCAATCCACATGTACATGTAACAACATGAATTTCCTCTCAAAGAACCAATAAATTAAATACACTATCCTAGTGCCTCAGATGTAGTACATGTACTGTTCATGTATGAAATGCAATAAATTAAAACCTACATGTGTATGTACATGTACATCAGTCGATCTCTTCCTGGTGTACTGCATCAGTCATTTTGACAATACATGTACTTTGGCCGGTTCCCTGCAGTCCACAGGAAAGAAGTTACCACAACATGAATAAATTTATGTTGTGTTTTCTTACCCCTGGAATTTTTTGCCACAGACTCACAGAGGTCATCTCAGTTGACCTTTGGGGACAAAGTACATGTACATGTACCATATGAGGGTGTTTTATTTTGTACCTTTTTTTGCAAGCTGAGGCAGAGATATAACAGTTGCACCAATACATGTAGGTACTTGCCCAAGAGGACTTCCTGATGTCAGTCATAATGTACATGTAATGAAGACTGGAGTCCAACCTGGGCTACAATGCATGTACATGTACATGTAGGTGCCAATTTTGTACATGAAGAACCAATGAAACAACATTCTAACACTGTCATCAAAGCAGTCTGTTATTGCATGTATCTTACGGAGGAAACAAGTTGTTAAAGGAAACCTAGGAAAAAAATCCACACACTTTAAACTGTAATGTTAGACATCAATAAAATATTAAACTGCAACAAAAAAACAACAGAAAAGTGGTCAAATTAAAGTATTTGGAGGATGTGTTGGGTCAAACCAAATGAAATGTACCCATGTGCAACATGGAAACAACTCAGGCAAAATTTTCTGCAAGGGAAAAATACATGTACAATGGAACGTTTGTGTTCATGAAGTGAAAGTATTTTATACACATACATGTACAAGGTCACCTCCAGTAAGTTTACTTTCTTCTTTGAAAAATAAAAATGCCGTACCTTGACACCACTTCAAACCATCAAAAAAAAAAAAAGAAAAAAAAATGAACAAGCAACCTTTTGCTTTAATACATTCATACGTACATACATACATGCAGTATCTCGTCACATTGCTCACAAGTCCTCAGTACACCCATCAAATACATGTACACAGACATATATTTCAAACATGTACTGTACGTACGTGTACATGGTCTGCAGGTTTTCAACAGCATGTCTATTTGAAAAGTACATACATGTCTGGTCTTTTCCATATGAAGGATGTATGTAATGTACATGTGGTAGACAGCACATGAGCTGTTTAAATTACTGTGAAGGTCTTGCTGGATACGGCTCAACACATTCATCTTGTGGCCTGCTGTTCCCAGATACAAATGGCAGCAAATATTTGCAAGGTTTCTCATTATTACTACATGTACATATTGCTGATACGATAATAAAATCATCCACACATTGTGTGCAAGACTTAAAACTCCCCGATATACATGCAGTTTATGACCAAATGGCTTGGAAAAATGGCCTTTTAACAATTACTACAAGTACATGTAGTACTACATATCTGCAAATAATCAGAATTTCATCCAAAATTAGTTCCAAATACCCTCAGCATTAGCATCATGAACCGCATGGAAATTGTCCATGATAAAAGAGGCATTGAAAAGAAACCCTTCTTTCCCCATGATAACCTTTATACAATAAATGACAAGACCATCTTCCAAACTTAACATTAAAAAAAAAGGAACAGCTTTCATATTCATGGTCAAAAATATCCCAAAAAGGCCTTCCGCAAGTCACTTTTTCACATTGATTTCAGAAACACTCTCTACATGTACCTGTATTATTGATACTGTATGCCAGTAACCCCAAAACGTCATGGGGAAAAAGGGTGCATCTTCACAGGCGAATCTTGTAGTAGAGGCATGCTGAAAATGCAATGTTCTTGTGCGGGTCTTGGTCTTGAGGTTTCCATGCGATAACACGCTGAATAGATTGTTCCAAGGTAATGCAATAAGGGTAGATTTTAAATTTTCCCGGTTGTTGCAGATAAGTAATATGCCAAGGATTTTTGGAGGACTGCTTGCACAAATATCCAGCGTCTGCAGAAGCACTTCGAATTTAGTAAAGGGATGGATAAGCCTTGCTGACTGCTTGTTTTGTGTTGCAGCTGCCTGTGTATGGTGCTGTGCTGCCGGACCACTGCCAGGTTTGGGACTGCCACAGCAGCCACGCAACTCTGACAGGTTCCATGCTTTCATCCTCATTCATTGACGAGTAAGTTAAACATGTACATGTAGTTACTGTCATAGGAATTGAATCCACTCACTTTCACAATACATGTTTATCTCTTTTTCTTTCCCACATTGAAAATTGCTGACATAGAAACAAGCACGTACTGTGCGTGGGTTGCTGTCGTTTTTTTCCTGGAAGCTTCACATTTACATACACACATAAGGTAGCCCACGACTCAGTGCAAAATCAGTCTTGGTCCAGACCCTACAGGTACATGTATGTGTGTTAAACGTTGTGACCATGAAGAAGCAGAAGACTGAAACTCTTTTACTTATCTACCAGTTGGCAGGGCAACTAAACATGTGCAGTGAGCGTTCCACCATTTGCCTGGAGGGCTCAGAAATTTTACCCTGTGGGTCCCTGCTTATGATCAGTACATAATCTGTGTGAACTTGTAAAATTGTGTTTGTGAAATGGAATTCAGTCATAGCAATTGATTTGAGACTTTTCCTCTTTAAAATTCTCAACAGCTACAGCTGGATTTTTTGACAGAATCGAATGACATTTGTGACTGCCAACTTAGGAACCCGATTGTTTGTGAGAGGTATTTTTTAATTTCGTGATTATGGTTTTATGTGACACCACGTATATGTAAAATAACCGCAAGGATTATCGGGGTATCGTTTACAACAGATTGTTCAAGTCGGTTAAAAATGCTGATGTTTGAGACTTTAATTAATCAACTCCGATTAAGTTGAAAGATGGACACGGTCATCATTGTTCCAGGTATCAGCCCTGACTTCCCTCATTTCATCAGACATTGGGAATAAATTCACTGCTGTTCACTTCAGGAAAAATGAACCCTCAAAGTTGAACATTATCTAATGGTCCATTTTTGAGGAAACTGCAATTATACCAGTCTTGCAGTCAAGGCTAAGACCAGAAGTTTAGAGAATGAGACCGAGACCAAGACCAAGATAGATCAACACCGAGACCGGCAAAAAGTTGTCTTGCGACCGGTCTCAGGACCTAAAAGTGATCAGTACTACTACGCCCCTATCACTTTCAACCTGGACCGGTCAGCAACATGATCAAATCTTCCATTGACCTGTTGACACAATTCAGAATCTGAATCATAGAGTTGGCAAAGCTTCCATAAGGAAACATCACACCAACTTGAGGGTTAGTTTGGGGCATGGCGTGTGTTTGGGGCTAGAGGTGTCTTCAGTAGCTTAAATTTACCAGCATGGTAAAACTATGGAAAACAGGGCCACTCACCTGTTTTACCTTGTAGCCGGCTACAAGGTCAAAAGTCACATGTATAAGAGGGCGACATCGTAGCCATCAATCGGGTACTCGGTTTGGACTCAGACTGTTTTCGACCATATTAATTCATTTTCTGTTGCTCTGTTTTCAAAAAGAACTCTTTCAACATTGTAGCCACGAACCGGGTACTCGGTTTGGACTTGAGTCTTTCTTTGCCCTCTTCCGGGTCACTTTGTGCACACATCGCCAAATCATGTTGTTACCAGAGATCCAATGTGACATCATAGCCAGTGATCTAGGGGGTATATTCACTCCTGGCCCTGCATTCTATAGTTACTTCACAAGTGCTAAACAATTTAAACAGTTCAAGTCTAAAGGTTGCATGTGATGTTTCCGCAGATTCAACAATACTACTACTAGATGGGACACTATTCATGTCCTTAATCATGTTAATCTGTTGATTGTCCATGGAAAGAAGCTATTGCTGAAGGCACTGGTCATGCTGGTCCTGGTATATATACATGTATATATGTACATGTAGTCAGGCAGTTGATTTAATTTACACTTTATATTTATTTATGATTGACAAAAAATCAGAAAAAAATTACTGTCTGAATTTAAGTCTGAAAATATTCAATAATTTGTCATGTTTGTAAAAATCAAGACAAATGTAAGACAATGTTAACACCCCGCAATCAACAGAAGGTGGGTGCCTGTTGTCTCTTTGTTGACAATAATGCTGGCTATGAACGTGACGAACAATGACCACACATTAACATGCATAGGTGTATAGCTACATGTATACTACAGTGACGTGACAAGAACCGAACTGGCTTGACCAGCTGTGAACTCTATCAACATCCCAACCTGCTTGAGAGAATACGATGGGGCCTACCTTCCTTTAGTTCCTGCTCCAATTCAGACAACTTCTCTCGTATATGAACCGGCAATTTGGAAGCATCTAACCTTTGCTCAGCCATTTTGATAGCGCGAAACGTCCTGTCAAGCACTAGCACCAGCAGCAGTCGAAAGTTAGTGGGCCCTACGTGTGCGCGTAGGCTTACGGTGTAGCAGCGTAGCCAAGCCCTCGACAGGACAGCTTCAAACTTGCCTTCACGAGTTGTCTGATGAATAGACTTACGTTTCGTTCATACAGGCTTAAAAACAAAACATAACTTCTCTATTATTCAAATATTTCTGTTCATGGTAATTTCAACTGGACTAAGTGCAAAACATGTTCAATAGACGATACATCATCGTACCCTACGGACGAAAGTGTTTCGCTACTTTCTACAACGTAGGGGCAGCCATCTTGAATAAATAACCTGCCGGTACGGTGTGGCATTAAATTATACCCTTTTCAAATTATGGACACCACACTCTATCAAGTACAGCTTTCTCCATTTTGAAGGGATATAATTGTTATGATTAATTCTAGCCATAAGAAAAAGATGCCAAATTTTGTTCATTGTGGTTTAAATTATACTATTGCGTTTTACTGAGTGTGCGCACTGTGACATACATCCGAAAATATGTGACTACAATTTGTTTGAAGACCAATAAAAAGTAAGTGACGTCAGACTACATCTGTCCCACGGCCCTTCCGAGCTCCTCCCGGCCCGCAACAAACCGCACTTTGGTTCACGCCTTGTCATGTGATCAAAACAATAAAATCAGGTAAATAAATGACACATTCCCGACTAGACGGGGGGGGGGGTTGGATACGCAATTGACCCTGACCAATGCTGTTGGCCGAGGAACAAAATGTCTCGATTTATTTTTTGTACTTTTTTGTACAGCAGCAAATTGTGTTGGACTTGCAGCTGCAGAGTGGACGTGGATTGAGTGTTCCGGTACCTTGTTGTTTTGGCGTCCCTGACCGTTGAGTCGCGTTATTGAACTTGCCTCGACAACGAGCTGATACATTTCAGAGAAATGTCGGGCCTACTGCAAGGCAATACGGGAAGGGAAACACGCGGCACACGTACAAACATTCAAACACTTAAACCTGATGAACTGTACTCTGGAAATAGAAACAAATTATGGGGCGCTCATAAAAAATATCACCTAAGCTTATAATAATCAAAGCTGTTAGTTTCCGCTTTTAGCTGTTTTAATATTACTTATTGCATATCAGTATAAACAAACACCCTAAAAAAAAAAAAAAAGCTTACTCCTGAATTTACAATATTTCCGTATTCCTGCCCAACCAGCACTTTGAGCGTCATCCTCAGCTGGCACCTGGCTACTCCTCGGACACCCGCCTGGCCAAAGTCACAATCCACTTGTAAATTGTCCTCCACAATGTTAAAAAAAACATCGAGCACTTACCGACCTACGGGTTTCCACCGTCCCGTCGCATGCACTCTACCTGTTACTGTTCATTCCTGGGGTCATCATAATGGAGCATTCCTCAACCCGCCACCCCCCACCCACATGCATCCACCCACAAATCAGCCACCCGGTTGATCCATTATGGTTGGCCAAAGACACAAAATAGATAAATTTGAACAAGTACAAATAATTAAAATAAACATAACTTAAATAAAGCATATAAAAGACAAACAACATATGCAACAATTGTATTAGAATAACACACATGCAAGGCAACTATACCAAGGAACTAGGGCAACTTAAAATTATCCAAGAATGGTAAGGCATAGTCTAATAAAGAACGAATTATGCCCTCTTGCAATTATAATAAGTGAGTGAAATTATAAAGATCAAATTAAACAGACAACTTGGAAAAACTCAATAAGAAAACGGCTTGGCGTGCAACCCTTTGCAAGTCGGTTTTCTTGTCGAATTGGTTCCTTATTTTGTTTGGTGCCGATTTTGTCCTCTTTTGCTGGCCTACCTTTAAAGTCCCTTCTACGTTTCTGCTTGGCAATAATTTTTGTATGGTTTTTCACTGAAAATTTCAGCACGCATTAAATATCAGTACTGAAATGATGGCCTTCATTGTATTCATTATGAAATTGCTCCTTGATCTTTTAAGGATTTCTTTTTCAGTCCTATTTTGGCGGTATTTTCCCTTTGATTGTTCGAGTCCCGGTTCTCATTGGTTTGCCTTTTGCTCGGGGGCTACTGACGCTTTTTTGTTGTTTCACAATCCCATTTATTTTGGTGTATTTGGCCGCCCACTGGAAGGGACCATGATTCATACCCTGAAACACAAGCTCGATTGTTTCACATACCTGGTACGAATGACCTATTGACCAACTCTAATTTATCTTCCCGCTTTTACTAAGACACGCATAGCTTGACATTATAAATTGGAATCCCACTAAGCATCTGGGTCAGATTCGATCGTAAACTTGGTGTGACGCCCCAACTACAGCGCCTGTCCCAACTGTAGTGTAAAAGCCGTTCCCAGCTGGTGCATGCAAAGTGCCAGTTTATGCAGAACTAAAAACGACACAGAATGAAATTATTCATTTCATTTGCACAGATGCGAAACATTCGTTTTATAAAATGCCCAAATATATCCTTCTCGTGAACAAGTCGCTGTTTCACCTTCTTAGCTGGCCACATGATGTACGATCACTCCTGTGCCTGCCTAGTGCACGCACGGCCGGTAGTTGAACAGCGCGCAGCAATAACGGGGACTTTATAAAGTACCAAAGTGTGTGTGACGTTATCTGGTGCCGCAAACGAATGATGAAGTACGCACTGCGTGTTGGTTCACCCACCGGTCCTTTTACACCGTTGATCTCCATTATAAAGTCTTTAAAATGGAGATCAATGTTTTACATAATTGTGCGCGTGGCGTATTCACTTGTTCGGTATCTTCAAAGACTTCATGGAGATCAATGGGTATAGCCCTAATAGAGATCAAAATAGTAAAACTGGAGGTGACACACCTATTCTTTTACATTACGGAAATTTGGCCTTATCACAGGCGGCATGTTCGATTACCTTGCCACGTTAACCATTGATCTCAAGGATGTTAACCCTTACACGAGCTTGTAGTCGCACTTTACACGCACGCGTAGGCGTCCTCGAGGTACCAAGTTAGTTTTACGTGCCCCGTGTCCCCTCTAGTTCTACTTTATGATCTCTGTGTTCGGTAATCTATGCGCCCTGAGTTGAAGTGCACCCTCTCCGGGGAAAGAATTAAAGACAGGCTGGTGAACCCGGTTTTGCAGCCTGGTTCCTAGTACACGCTTGTCTCACACGCAAAGAGCATGCATACATTCCAGCATAATTCGTTGCTTAGAGGGCGTACTCAGCGCGCCCGGCCCCGCCAACTGCGCATAATTTTGCGCTCCTATGTGTCATATCAAATGAATGCCATTTTGTTCCTGCTCGGAGCGGCTAGAGGATTTTAAGTCACATGATTCTTGACGGTCAGCGTTCAATTTACACAGATGTGCGCGGAAACGAGCGCTTACGAAGTCTCTCAACATTCTGACGTCCATAGACCGATCACTAAGTCCTGCAAATAAAGCTCTTTAAAAAACCTAGAATGCGTACTCGCAGGTAACCTGAAGCAACGACCGCCATTGCCACCGTGGAAAAATTATTACACCAGGTCCAGGTGCACCCGTGCGCGCGATGTCCGTATTTCTTACTAACTGCGTGTGATACTTACGGTTACCAGAAGCATATTTTGGTCGCTGCGAAACCAGTTTAAACGCAGCACGTGGTTATAACACTTCCGGGCACTTTTAGCTTAGGACTACAATTCCGCCCACAGTTGTAATGGCGGCTGGCGTCCATGTTGGCACAAGAGTACTGCGTACATAGAATACGGAGCGCACTCCAGGTTTTTTTTTATAGTGTAATTCGACCAGCACAATTAGAAGCCATTACTGCGGTGGCACAACGCTTGTGGACAGGTGGTACGCGTGCGTTACATGCCTCTTTGACCAACAGGGTGTCGTGATTTGCCAAATGCATGTGCGCGTCAAGCTTAAGAATGCGCGTGTGAGTGCGGTGCCACTGCAGTTTTGGCGGCTAACCGGATTAGTCTATAGAGCTCTATGGTCCTGCCCCATTGTTTTCTGACTAACCACGTGACATGCTTGTGCAAAAGCCCAACATGCTTGCACGCGCGTATTATACGTGCGGCTGGAACCTGTGGTGTGGCACTGGAGAAGAGCACGCGTCTACGGTGCCCACTTGCACAGTGGGCAGGGCTTACTGGATCTGTAAATAGAAATACCCAGATTCGAAAATACACGCGCTTCCAAGGACATGGTACGCTTCCCGAAATGAGTTTGTCCGTCCTATTACGTCACGTGAAAAACCTCTATACCGAATATCAACCTCCCACTAATCAGATAACTAGGAATAATTCAGGTCTATACATTCCAACAGGGCCTTACCATGTAAACATAAGTTCAATTACACGTTAAATTTAGGAAGGTTCCATTTATGCGCAGACGGCCACATAGCTCAATGAATTCCTAAAAGATTCAGGGATTTACTATATAGGGAAGGGATACAGGTGCTGTAGGGGTTATTACAGGTATTGTAATAAACAAACAATGAATATTTTACATTATTACAATGACAAGGAGAATTTTCCATTCAAGGAGCCGAAGCTGATTAGAAAGGGCCATTCCTTCTGTCACATTATTTTTGCCACTTCACTCATAACAAAATATTCAGTACACGGGCCATTCGTCATTCGTTCGCGTCGTTAACATCGGCGTATCTCTGATGCATAAAAATCGAGAGTGAGCCGCTGACTGATCCTGAGGGGGTCAATCGGGGTAATGTCCCCCCAACGAGCATTTTCTTGTTGTATTTGATGAGAGAAAAACAAATTTTGGGACCTTTCCTACTTCACTTCCCCGTCTTCCGAAAGCGTGTAAAAAGCCATTTACCGGCGGCAGAGGTGGGGCAAATGGCCCCTCTTTTTTAACTGGGGGTGCCCCCCCCCACTTTTTGCAGGTCCTAAAAATTGGATGGGGCTTAATGGCTGGCCTATTCATGGCTTGAAGGTCTTTTTATTTACAAATCCCCTCCAAACTTTTAAAATCATTCTGCCGCCGTTGTCCCGATGGTTAACTTCACCCCTCGGAAATGACATAAAGAGGTAACAAAAAGAAAATCTGAATTGGTTTGGCCTCCAAAATACAATTTTAGGCCTCCCCTCAAACACAAAAGGTGCAAAAACTTGAACTGGAGGTTGATAAATTTGGCCAGCCCGATGCCCAACTTTAGCGCTACCCAACTGTATTTGGGACAGATGGTCTAGTTGGGCATAACACACAGGCCCACGAAGTTGACCGTGAAGCGTTTACCTGTACCTAGCTACGTACAGTATGTAGCCGTAGATATGTCCTGTATCACCGTAGAGCAACACATGCATAGGTACTTGTAGGCCTACATTGGACGTGTTACGGCTGTATCAGAACCCCTTGATCGTGACATAGGCCTATCGTGCATGGCATGAGACCCCTGAACAATACGATTTTTGGCTAAGAGGACTTTTACATCATGTGTGTGTGCTCATGGGTCCAATGTCCAGGCAGAATGAATAATATCGGCGAATACATTCACTCTAATGTGATGCAGTCTGTCTGCTTTATTGGAGTAGGCCTGTAAACGCATCCACACCCAGTCTTCCAGATCCCGGTAAGCAGTGAGTGAAGTTGATTCCGTCCTCCTCCATGATCATGCCTGGTCCACGATGATTGTTAGGCCCTAGCTCAAAAACCATGATAACGTAAGTACTGCAAAAGATGACTCGACGATCATTCATTTGTAAATTAGCAATCAAATGATGAGCTATTCACGCTATTTATGTCATGTGTACATTTGCTCTGCCCGATGGAACTGACTGCTTTTTTGGAAAGAGTTCCATATGGAAAATTAACATGTGATGCCCCTGTGCACAAACCTATGAGGAGGCTTGTCAGTTTTCTTAGTAAATGCTTCAAAATATTCTTTGCTTAATTTCACTTTTTAGGTCATGTGATCACTTTCTGATGGCTATTATAACATTTTAAGGGAAAATTAGTGTTTTCTGCATACAGAACTCTTTCCCTTCAGCCATCAGCTGATCATCTTTTCTATCTGATTCATGTTTGTGGAAGATCCTTTTTTTAAAAAGGGGAATTAAAGTCCAAGATTTCCTGCGTAATCAACTGATAGCGCAGACGCACCAATGCGTGGCACCTACAGTATCTCCATTAATTGTTCTCTGTTGTTTGTCCTTCACCTGGAAGTCATCAAACAGATGTTTTAAACAAATGAATGTGTGTCAACATTTTCCTTTACAATTACATGTACATTACTGCAGATGTGATACGGCAAGACTTTATACATGACCGCACAGGCGCTTTGTTACTGTACATAATGGGTACGGGAAGCTCATTTCCCAACGATGAGGATGCCGACATGTCTGACAGTAACCCTGGTGTCATCAAGCGCATCCCCATTGAGCTGAAGCCTCGGAAGAGCCTGGGGGGGACCTTGCGATCCGTCGGCTCTTTTGGCAGACGACAGAAAGGTGTGGCTGCTGGTTCAAGTTATCTTTGTTTCCCTTGTGTCCACTTAGTGCAATGACATGTAGATTGGAGATATTTAGCTAGAAAAGGATAGGACCAAAGAATACTGCAACTTGTCCATTGCATAGGGCTAAGCGGACATTGAATATGATTGTCAGATCAGTTTGAGCCAGTTCAGTATTCCAACAGCACATGCCCCAAATGAAGTGCGTGCAAGATAATTCAGGACGGGCGTGAATGCTGGTCTACATGCACCTTATCAGTGCTGCCATACGTCGACTTGAATACTAGCTTTGCTCTCGACTTGCCTCAGCTTTTTAAAATACGTACCGGTTGGGCTCAGCATTACTGTTACATTACATTGTATGCAAAATGAAAATGCTTTTGATACAAAACACTGGCACGAATCTAAAATGCTGTTAAAAGTTTCAGGAAAAATTTTTTTGGCTCGACAAATTTGGTCCAAACCTCCCCTTCCCAAAAAAATTGGTTCTGGACCAAATCAAGGTTTAGTGACTTGGCTCTTAACCTATGAATACTCCATATGATCTGTCTCCAGGAGTGAGTCTGAGGTCTGCCCTCTCTGTGGACTTGGACAGTTCCGAGGTGGATAAAGTCCGCCGAGAGTTTGAGATGTACAAGATTGGCAAACAGAATGAGATGAGCGATCTGATCAAGAAAGAGAAGAAGTTGGAAAGTGAAAACAAACGGCTGCGGGCCGAACTGCAGGTGAAACTTCTGTCAGGATTGTCACAAAGAGACAACTTTCTCCAAGCTGCATCAAATTAACCCTTTTTAGAAAAATCATGATTGAAGTTTGTCACTTCTTCGAAAGAGAATTTATTGAGACTAACTTCAAGAATTGATTAATTTAATGCATTACGGAAATTTATCTTTTCCTTAAAATTGTTAAAATTGCTTTCGGCCAGTCATGGCTCTGTGTAATCTCTCTCAAGCACATATTTCTTCTGTCTGTCAAAACCAAAAGTGTGGTTTAGTTGAATTTTTCACCTTAGAGATCACCATGATTTAGCTGATTTGAATACACTTGGTCAAAATGATTTCACCAAGATGTGGGCATCAGATATTGTAGTTAGTTTTGGAAAAACTGGAAATTTGGAAAGAGGTAATTTCTTTTGCAAATTTGTCTCTTTGTGAAAATGGTGACAATTTGAATCCTCATGGTGCTTTCCAAGGAGCTTTTAAGCACAGTGAAGGCTGAAGGTTTTTTAAATTTTTGGGGAGGGCATCACTTTTGTGTGGGTTTCAAAGATTAGGTGATACATAAGACAAATTTCGCAAAAAGTGAGAGAGGAAACCCTCCAATTTCTTGCTCTTTATCTTCCTGATTATTCCAAGTTCCAGCCATTAGCAATAAACTAATGGTATGTTCTTTGTTTAAAGAGGAACCAAATTTGTGCCGTCCCGAATCCATCACCATCAAATCTAGAGTGTTTGATTTTGATGGATCTTGGAGCATAAGGGGTGATCCGTGTATTACCCATTGCATTTTCTTACCCTTTAGCTGTGAAGCTGCAACCATTTGCTGGACCAATTTTCGGCTGTTGTTGTCTTTGACCAATACTATGACGAGTTTTAATACCACAAAAAGTGACATGACAAAACAGCTATCAGATTACCTCTATGCACAAACTTTTATTATGTTTTTGTTTTGGTTGAAGGCTATGCAGAAAACGTGCAATAAACTCCGCCAGGAGCGCGACATGGCTCTGGATGCAGAGTACCAGGCTTTGGAGAGGGCAGCCGCCTTTGAACAAGACAGGAATAAAGTACAACGTCAATTTAAGGTATATCTAATGTACATGCATATATTGTTTTCTTTAGACTTCATGACAGCAATTTAATAAGCCGGTGAACCTTTTGAATTTTAAACCAAAAGCATCTTGTGCTAAGGAAGACCTTCTGGCATTGAAAGTTCTGCAGTAATCAAAGGTTTTCAGGCCTTTTGAAATTCATGTTTGAATTTTGGAAATAGGATGCTCGGTGTTCATGTGTGATAATTGTGGCTAGGGTGGAAAGGCCTACAACTGCATTTTTATCAATGTGTGGGGTTAAATCATTGTTTGTTGTGACCCATGAAATGTGTAGTCTTCAGAAGACCTGAACAATGTGTAACAAACATTTTTTACAATATAATTTTTGTTGTGTATTTGCCAATCTGTTTCGTAAATACATTTCTCAATGGAAGGTTTTTTAAAGTATTGTCTCAGTGTGACAGTAACAATTAAAACTGATACTTTCTTTGATTGGCGAGGGAGTTAATGGCTTGTATTAAATGATAAACTATTTTTGGCTTATTGAATATATTGAAGATTTTCCGCGAGACAAAAGAGAGCGAAATTCGCGATCTTCTGAAGGCGAGAAGCAGCCTGGAAGCCACATTACACAGGACTGTTCCTCCCCTTAATGGAGAAAACGGGGTAGTCAGGTCACTTGATGCAGGTAGGACGTGAGGATGGGTTGCGGCATGCAAAATTCAACCACAAAGCAAGGACACTTGATTAATAACATCAAGAAGATGTGAAGATTGTATCAAAATTCAGATAAAGAAGAAAATTTGAGGTTATGAATAACTCTAAGGGCCTTAGAACTAGAGGGAAAGACACGACTTGGCCGGTTGAGCGATTCAATTTTGAAGAATATGTAGGAACTCAAATAATTTAACCATGTTGTTCCAATGTATAAAAGGGTCCTTCACAAATCACCAGGTTGTTTATGTTGGGCACGATCAGTCCATCTGCATGATCTGTGTCTGCAGAGCTGTGCATGTTTTGCGCAATTGCTGTACAGTCAGTCGATAATTTCATGTGTGGGCATTTGTAATTTCTTTCTAATTTATGGCTGTGGTAAAGGCAGTGATTTCATAGAGGATCAACTGATTGCACAACGTAATCAATTGATTAAGCTGATTGACTGATTGTGCCCAACATTTACGCATAAACATGTATCTGTATTGAAGAGTAGTTAGTGGAATTGTTCTTAATAATAATATTTAAAGCATTTGTCTCCTCATTTTTGTCTATCAATTGTTCAGTCATCTTTACAAATGATTCTGAACTGAAGCAAGCATTTCCTAACTGACACATGTTCCTAAAGACAGCCTGTCATTAAATTTCCAGTTTAAACTTTCAAATACTTCAACCGTGCCATCAACCCAAGGTTGAATGCCAGTTACCTGCTACAACCTTTTCTTTGTGAATGTAGGCAATTCCTACCCAGGTGACTGGTGGACAGCGTTGGAGAGTGAGCCCTCGCTTGGCAGTGTGTCCCAACTCCAGATGTTACCAAGGGGACAAGAGGTCTCCCCTAATCTCACTGACATTGACAGTACCTTCACAAGTCTAAACAGAGGTGAGTTGGAAGATTTACCTACATGGAATGTTTGGCATTTTCTTGTTCCGTCTTTGGGAATTTACTGTTGTTGAGAACTCAGGAGTAAGCCAACATGCAAGCCTTTCTCAGAAATGTTTTTAGTGAGCAGCAGCAGCACCCGCAGTCATCCAGAAAACCTTGCCATTTTTAAACGTTCAAAAATTGCATTTTTCAATAAACTCTTAGCCCAAAAGGATATCAAAAAGTTTTCATACACTAAAGAAAAAAATTGATTTATAAAAAGTGGGTTAGAGAAATATTCATCCCTCAGAGACATGGTTTCAATCTGTACATGCATGCACAGGAGAGGACAGCCCTGTCTCTGTTGTGGCATGGAACCAAGTCATGCTGAGCCTACCTCAGACCTCGCAGTTCAATGTCATACGTGTCTACCTGTCTGCCCCGGAGGACATGCTGGATGAGGTGGCGATTATGGAGAAGGTATGTGCTGAATTTGGTACATAATTTGGAAACCTTTCCCAAAGGGAAATTTCCCGATTGATTTTTGTTCGGACTGTAATAAAACTGCTACTGGTTTACTGTTTTTCGCCCAAAACCTTCACATTTAACGTTTGTCAGTTGTTCTTTCATGGAAAGCAAACAATTTTAGGTGATCTTTTCTCACATTTGAACATTTTCACTTTAGAGGGGTTCCACACTGCATACATTTATGCATATTTTCTGTGACATTAATTCTCATCAATATAATATCAATATTACATCATTGTCGTTGACTGTGCCGTCCAGAGGATGCCATCTTTTCACTCTTGGCTGTCACATCTGTGTATTGTTTAGATCTTATTCTGAATTAAAAAAACCTCATTGCTCTTACTTATCCAAAGCAACAGATTGGATCGCACCCCTATTGGGCTATCACCATTTGCGAGTTAGCCACACCCCATAGAAGCCTATGAAATTTTGTACATTTGAGTTTCATTCATCCCAGATTTTGGGTGTAATTTGACCCGTAATTGGACAGTCTTTCACAAGCTTTGTTGAATTGATTCTACCATTAGTCAATTAACAAGGAGAATACTGAAATTGCAATTGCAGGAATTTGAGCCCAAACTGAGGGAGCTCTGTGAGCTGGAGGGGCGTTTTTTCCTGCTGGTCCACCTGCCTTTCTCTGAGCAGAGAATGAAGGAATGTTCAGATGATGAGCTGTCAAAGGTGTACAGCATGTACAAGCGACTGGTGCATGACTGCAGTATCTTTCTGGCCTTTTTAGGAGAGCAAACCAATCGGTAAGAAATAAGCTGTAACTGAAATGCAATGCTGATTCAGATTTCATGTAAAGAACATTTTGCAGCGGTAAGTATTTACAAAAGCAGTCCACAAGTGCCATCAGAGAAAGAGAAACAGGTTATTTTGAAAAAAATTGAATTATTTTTTTCGGAACTGAATCACAGTATTGCTGGTAAAAATGGCATTTTAAAAATAGTTGATATGTTTTCTCACTCTTCACTTCAGAATTTAAAGGCAATATGTACATGCATGACGTACATGGGTGTGTTAAGGGTGCTATACTAATTCTTGAGTTTCTTGGTCGTCATCATTTCTCGTCAGTGTCTGAAGGTGCTTTCATTTCTTTTGGGGTAGGTTCACCCGTGATGAGTATGAGCTTGGCCATCTCAATAGCCCTGGAGCCAAGTCGGCCATCTTTTGCTTCAGCAATCCAGCATTCAGAGGGTGTGTACTTCTTGACGTTACAATATTAGTAACTGTTCAGTGTTCTATATTTCTTATCTATTAATATATTAAGAGATTTTTTTTTTACAGTTTGTCCAGTGTTTGGCACTTGAGACACTTTAGGCATTAAAATGTATTATGACTTCTATTTGGTGAAACAGTAGTTCTCCTCCATGTCAGTGCTCTGTCATGCACAAATGTGTACCAGTCACATTGTACATGAATATCTTCAGTTTACACTTTTGAAGTCAACTGTTCACTTTCAAATTCACATAACGGTATGGAATTAAGGCAAATTGAAAATAAGTGGAACATAAAATACAGAATTACCCCTTGAAGCCATACTTGAACAAAAATCAGATCTGAAGCAATTTAGAAGTATGCAACCTTCTAACAAAAGCAGGCGTCATTTTCTCCTGTGATTGTAGATGTAAACCCAGTCAAGGAGAAGCCAAAGAACTGAAGAGCCTCGTCAACAAGACGGGGTGTGCTAAGATCGTCAACAGTTACAATGAGCCCAGGGACGGTGTGGAGCAAGCGTTTGCTGAGCTGAGGAAAGGCATTCAGTTGGTGAGTACGCATACATGTGTCGATTTTGGGACCCGGTCGGGTGTGTTGGGCATGTAAGGCAAGATCTGTTGAGGTGGCATTCTTTAACAATGTGCCAAAAGATTCATGAATCAATCTTATCCTGCAGTGAGCTAGTTACGCATTTAAAAAAAACCAGCAGCCTATTTCACAAAACTTTACGTAAATGGCGTAACCTCACTTACACCACATTTTGTTGCGTAAGTTGCACAACAAATTAAGACCGATTTCACGAAAATTACGTACTGTAAGACTGTGACTTGTGCAACAAATTATGGCATAACGTACATAGTCATTTTAGGTGGAGTAAGTTGCGCCAAATGAAGCAAAAGTGAATGATTTGAGTAGCTTATCATGCTGAACTTAGCTGAACTTAACAAGGCTCATATGAGAAACATACAGCTTTGTTGTAAAAGGTGATGGAAAACTTGTTTGGCTATGAGAGAACTGCGAGATTTTCTGTTCGGTTCTGACGAAGGAAAGATGAAAACTTTTTAAAAATGGCGGTCAGAGGTGATTCAATGACTGTTTGATGACTGTTGTTATATTGGAAAGGAAAAGCCATTGTAAAAGCCCTTTTTGTCCTTGTCCAAGAAATTTAATCTTTTTAAAATGTGGCACAGCTGTGCAGCTTTTCATGAAAATGAACGTAAGTATATGGTGCAGCTATGGCTTAAATTTGTTACACAAGACTTATGCATGCTTCAAACATGTCAAAGTTACACCACGTTTCGTGAAATCGGCTGCAGGTCATTCGGGAACAAAGCATGTGCAGTAGTCTGCTCATAAAAGTCCCTGCTTTTTTATATGAAAACCCATGAAGGTCACTGTGCTTTTGCTGCCAGTATAAACCTTTCTGTGGTTTTTGCAGGAGCTTGGTATCGACACATCAGAGGAGCCCAAACACAAATATGCCCAGACTGAACTGGATTCATCCTACGAGGATCTGTGCGCCAGCTGTCAGTGGGACATGCATGGTGACGGTGAGCAGCGGGAGATGTTCAACACGGCATCCATCTCGTCCTGTGAACTCGGCTTTGAAAAGGTGAGTTGCTCAGGCCCAATTCCAGAACCTCCAAGAACATGGCGCTGTGTTGTCATCACATTGAACGGTATTGGTGAATTTAAACGTGGATACTTTTGTTCCAAGACATTTTTGGCTATTCAGTGCACCAGATTAGGGATTTCATTAAGGTTGGTTGTACCGCTTTATGTCATTGACAAAATGGCAGTTTTTCAGCAATGCTTAGTGTGTGAAACGGTTTGTGTCCTGCACGCCTGACTGAGCTTCACCGACAGACGTGGTGTGTGTGTGCTGTTAAATACTCTTGTATATCGACACCCACTCTGGCACAAAATAATGAATGTTCTTGACAAGTTACCAAACAGTCTTCCAATAAGGCTATTATTAAAAGTACAACCTCTGACCCCAAATTTGACTTGTTTTCATCCGTATTACAGAGATGAAAAGAGGAGATTGATTGTGGGATATGGAGTGGAATTTGAACCTACATATTCTGGAGCATTATGTTGCAGAAATCGTGGGTCCAAGTCTCGCTCCGGTTGATTTCTTTGTTCATCTCAATAATTTTTATGTCAGCTCCTAGTTAGTTTCCATATAATGGAATAGTTTATGTATACGCTATTATATAGTACATGTATACTTTCATTGATGGTTTATGTTGACAGTATTATGACTTTTCCTCTGTTTTACTCGATTTCTAGCACTACGAGAGATTAAATGAGCATGTTGCTGCCGCTGGCCCTCTACCGCCGTTCCTCGTGAGCGGCATCCCAGGCTCAGGCAAGTCCCTGCTCCTGGCCAAGTGGATCTCTCTTTTTCAGAAGAGGAGTCCCAGCAGTCTGGTGGTCTATCACTTCGTCGGCAGCCCCGCCTCCTGCAGTGCCAATGCAGTCAGCATGATACGTCGAATCACAGCTCAGGTAGATCACCTTTTGCTCATTTGAGCTATCACTGTTTCACCATTGCAGATGAGTGAACTTCGTAAGTTTGAAACCATTCAACAGAATAATTTGTCAGCAAATACAGATTTACTGCACGTTTTCGTTCCACGCCAGTGGTTGAACTCATTCTGATGTGAGATAATATGTGCTAGATTTGCTCTCGTGCCTGTTGTGAGGTCAAGTCTGAATGTGCATGGATTATTTAAGGAATCATAACCCCTTCTTTAAACACAGCATGAATTCCGGTGGCCACGGTACAAAAGGGAGTCTATCACTGAAAACGTGAACCAAATTGCTCCGAATCCCGTCTGTCTCAAAGCGTACTTCAGTCGTGGCTAATTTGACCACTTCTGCAGTGGCACATACAACTTCTGTTTGGAAAATTTGAATGAAATTCTGTTGACTTATCGTGTACCCACAGTTTCATCGGCCTGCCCCCTGTATGGGACTCATAAGTCCAAATCTTGACTATCATGGAAGTCATGAATGGTACCCAGGCAAATAAACACAATGTGAGACATACATGTATGTGGATAGGCCTTCGCCACATCGAGGGGAACAATTTTGTCTGTTGGGAAAGTTGGGAGCAGATTGTGGGGAAAAGAATTTTGTCCCCATGACATTTTTCTGTCCTCATATCTCAACATGCGTGTAGTCCCCCTCCCAACAATTAGGTAACAAGTATATGCGTGTCTGATTTTGTGTCCAGCTGATACAGTATGTGACGTCACCCCCGGCCCTGACCTGTGACCCCAACAGACTCTTGGATGAGTTCCCCAAGTGGCTGGAGAGAGTTTCATCTCGTCTTCCAGGAGGAATCATTCTAGTCATCGATTCCTTGGACAGAATACAGGTACGCAGAATAATACATGCTGGCTCAATCAACTCGAAATATATTTAACACCGTTTTTTAAAGATTTCATCCTTTGTTTCATTTATTAATGCATTGGATAGTTTTTAATATTTTTGTGGATATTTTGTACCCTTTGTACTGATAGTGCTGCAATTGTAAATGACACGTCACCTCATGCAACCAATAACTTGTCACTGTACAGTATAGATGTACATACTCCACATGGTATCCGATACATGTACATTTATTATCCCAAGTTGTGTCAAATGCATGTGATATAGTATGGTATATTATATATTATATTTACTATTAATTTGTACCTGGTATTTCAAGATTTCTGCATGCCATTTGATACTTTTAGTGCATTTTGGTTTGTTCCACTCAGAATGCTGAGAACCACTTACAGTGGTTGCTGGACCCTCTACCCGTTGACATCCGAGTCATAGTAACTGCTAATCCTGACAATTGTCTTCCTGCCTGGAGGTAAAATAGGCATCTGTATGTGGACATTCTTTGGTCAGGCTTGGGTTATCAAATAGGAACAGTAGACACTGTGCAGGGCCTTGAAAATAAAAAGAAATCTTTCCAAAAGGCATAGGACAGGTGAGAACCAGTCGCAAGATGTTTGTAATATGTGACTGGTAACCAGCTTTTGGTAAACAAACATTCTCCGTGCTGAACAGTTCTGGGATTTGCCCTCCCCAGATCCTGGCCCACGCTCCACTTGGAGGCCCTCAGCCCCCGCCATGCCAAGGAGCTCCTCCACTCCCTCAACCAGGAGCGCAACTTCCTGCTCAGCGGGGAGCAGGAGGCTCATGTGGTCTCCCACTGTCGCACCCCGGCCTCCCGTCTCCCGCTCTACCTCGCTGTGCTCGTGGACCAGCTGGCACAGACAGCCAGCGGGACAGTGACGGATGCTAAGCTGGATGCCTGCCTGCAGCACGCCGACACGGTGGAGATCTATCGACATGTGCTGGAGTCACTTGAGGAACAGTATGAGGGCAATGTTGAAAGGGGATTGGTCAAGAGAGTGAGTATAAAAAATGCACAATATAATGAATAAATGTGTCCAATTGCTTAATCCTTTAGTACTGCCTTAAACAGCCCAATGTGTCACTACCTGGATTCACTCTGTGGTTTCATGGATTCACAAGTGAATATTACATTGGAATAGAACTTAGTGTGGGAGTTAATGTGTCAAAGTGTGTAATTAGTAGCTATTGAATTGTGCTTCATCTGTAGTCACTTCTATGCCATTTGTCATACATTTGTGATGAAATAAAGCCAAATTAGTCATTTGTCAAATTTTTATTTAAATGTTTCAGAAGAAAATGTCCACAATCAAATCTTTTCATGTTTCAGCTTCTACTTCTGTTTATCCAAAGGTTGTTTCAAGATGGGGGTTTTCATAGAAATGAAATTGATATTTTATACTTTTTGAAGGAATAAAATTCAATCAATTGGCCTTGGTTGACAAATGACGCACTATGTTTGATCGCATCATATTGAGAGTCATTGTCATTGAATTTTCCAATGCAGTCCACATTCAGTTGTTAGTGGCATGCCCAGCAAAAGAACTACGCATCAGAAATTGAAATGGTAGTTTTTCTGGATGCAGGGGAAGACAAAATGTTTTAAAAAGTCTGCATCAGTTTTTGGGTCAGAAATGCCATTCACAAGAGTTACTCGGGAACTGATGCCTTGAGACCTCCATGTTCCGCCTCCAAACTCTGTATTGCTGTGCCGGTGCTCTCACTGTCTGGCACCCATTTTTTGCCTTGGTTTCAGATATGTCAGCTGGTCTATGTGTCTCGTAATGGTGTATCTGAATCGGAGCTGTTCCAGTTAATCCCTGACCTGACGTGGGTCACGTGGGCTCCTTTGTGTTACGACCTTCTGGATTGCCATGTCTTCACATACCGGGCTGGCTCCTTGACTTTTGCACATGAACAGGTACATATACATGATGCGTTAACTGTGTGAAAATGGATATGTATGCTAGGTTTTTTTAGGAAAAATCACAAATTTGTGATGTTGTTTTTTCCCCAGATTTGAGAGTGTAGTGCCATTTCTTCATTGTTTTGCTTGTTAATGCACATTTGTATCACTTGTGGATTTGTTTTAATTTGAATTAATTGCAGGTATGTGAAAAAGCAAATGCTGATGTGTTTTTCTACAAGTGTGATGTGGCTGAATGATGGTAGGGATTTGTGTACAAAGGGTCTCAAGTACATGCGCTGAACAGATACTTTCTGTAGTCTTTTTGTGTTTGTATCTGTAGGTTCAGGAAGCGGTACAGTTGAACTACTGCATGGGCGTGCATGAACAAGACCTCACCTCCACAACACAGCTTCTCATCGGGTTTTATTCCAAACTGCTTCAGTAAGTCATTCCTAGTTGTGTTGGACTTGTCCAACTCGGGTTGATAGTGCCGTCCTTTGTCAGCTGTGAACTCACGTTTATATTATATACGGGCGGGTATTCTTGACCGAGGAAGTTCTCCAGGAAGCATGCACTTCAGCTATTAAGCTTTAAACAACATCGTGCAGTGAAGAGTGGGTATCTCATTATGTGCTCCATGCTTAAGAAATGAGAAAGTGAAGTAGCAAAGAATGAAGGGTGTAATTAGGGAGTGGTGATTAGTGGTAGCATATCAAAGCATTTTAATGCATACAGTTGCGCTGTGTGTTTTGAGGAAAGACTTTCTCTCTCGGTTTTACAGGCCGGGCAGTGTGACGGCTCGCCTTGCGGACGAGCTCCCGTTCCTGATCCAGTCCACAGGCGACAGCCAACAGTTGCGGGAATGCCTGTCCAACCTCTGCGTCTTCCGCTTGCTGTACACCAGGGGGCGGTGTTCAGAGTTGCTGGACTTCTGGGGATCGGTCGGCGTAGACAGGCAGGGTGTGGCTAGCATCTACTTTGACACAGTCAAAAAAGTGGAAGAGGGTATGTGATTACATTAACTTGTAGTTGTCTTGCAAGAACTGTCAATGGCATTGTTTGTGACCCACACACAAGACCCAGTAAAGAATACAAACATGAAACATTGTGAGTGTTTGCAACCAGCTTTCAGTTTGATGTGCTCAAATATGTAGCTTCTTTCTATGAGACACAAAACAGGATAAAAAGGGCCTAGTGTAGAAGTTAACATCACATATACAGTGTGGGCCCAATGGTTTTCAATCTTGCCATTACTTGCTATTTCAATATATGAATTTTCGTGGAGGAAACTTCCTTCATCCCCCTAACATCCATCACTCATGGTCTTAACCAATGGCCCTTTGTTTGTACTTAAATTTAAAGAAGCACTATAGAGGCCAACCTCTTTCCAAGAGTCAACAGGCAGCACTATTTTAGTCTGATTTTGCAATGTTTTCTACGAAGGCGTATTTGGTGTAGTGCAACCTGTAGCGCACGACCAAAACATGAAATCACAACCATCACGTCGCTGGTGTCACAACTACCAGTGACCAATCAGAAAAATCAGTACTGCATATTCATATAACGTAATGCGTATGCACACACCATACACACTCGGCATGCCATACGTGTGAGATGCATATTCACGACTTAAATGTACCTATACGCGATGCAATGCATGAAAGCATGTGCTGATTTAGATCCTGTATGCAGAACCAACGTCAAGTCACAGCGTTGTCGAGACATACCGGCCACACACGTAGTACAGTAAACAGCGCACAGTTAAGTGCGATCGTGCCGCAAAGACTTCAGCATTACTCCTGCTGGGCAGGTGCCAGGGACCCAACTATTCTTGGTTGCAAAAGGTTGTATTTTATTTGGTTCAAAAACCAGCAGCAGCTAGAGGGCATGAGTCACAATCAACTTTTTTGCCACTTATTTCAGAATACTGTTTTACTAGACTGCCGGACTACCCAAACAAGGGCTTTCGCTAGACCGCCATGGTTTTTACTCGAATTTGGCTAGCTGACCAGTGTTAAGGTCGAACCCTTAGGGTGAACAATGCTTTTATCACAGTTCATTCGAATAGCTTACGATGTGGCTTAAGACCAAATGACTTGTTGACTTGTGATAGACTTACCGGGAATTCCAGGGGCGTGTGGTGGGCTCGACTACAACTGACACTAAGCCCCATGTGAAATAATTTCAGTGAAGCTGTGCCTTTCACAATCCTTCAAAATGCAAGAAGATTTTAGAAGGTTTAATGGCTAACCCATTTCCCAATTCAGTGCTGACACCTTTGGAAAAGTCCCCCCCCCCCCCGATTTAGGAAGGCATTTGACAATCTTTCATTAAAATATTTCATTCATCATCGTTGCAGTGTACGCTGGTGTACTTTCTCTACCCACAATAGCCTTTCTGCATGAGATGCTGGGCCGATTTCTGAAAGACATGGGACTTCTCATTCAGGTTTAGTATCATTCTACCCGTCCATTCCGTTTGACAGTCATACTTGTCAAGATAGCTTCCCACTTTTTAATTGCAACTGATCAATAAAGTGATATCTGAAATGTTGAAATGGAAATACCCACAGTCTAGTATGTTAATTTGTTAGCAGCAAAGGATATTAGTTTTAAGCCCATTATTTTAAATTATTCTTTTATTCATTCCCACCTTGGCATTTGTGTTATCTCTACCTGCCTTCATTTTGCTTTTCTTAGGCCACCTTTCATGAACGAAAAAAAGAACAAAGAACATAGTGCTTTCTCGAGACCGACTCAGAAATTTGCGATGGACTGGTATTTTCTCTTACTTTTTACACTCTGTACAGAAAAATGTACCTTTGACGTTGTGTCTGCAGTTAACAGTGTTGTAATCAAGACCCATTGGGACCATCAAAAGACCCCACTAGACCATCACAAAACCAACACAAAACCTCTTGTCTGAGTTCAAGTCACAGCTATTAAAAAAAATGTAATTAAAGCATTCCTTTGTTGTGATTCACCCTGCCACTCATGACTGGTAACGCTACAACACTAGCGGTGACCCCTATTAGCTTGTCCTGTGACTGTTTTAAAATGATTTCCCATGCCGTTATTAAACAAAAATTCATTGGCATCCAATGGTCACTTTCCAGGCTGTGCGTCCTCTGCAGCGAGCACTGGAGATCCGTGAGTCCATGGACCCAGACCACCCCAGCGTGGCACAGTCCTTCCACCTCCTGGGGGGTCTCCACGGCCAGTGGGGCAAGTACGCCACGGCCGAGGCCTACTACAAGCAGGCCCTGGAGATCAGCGAGAACGCCTACGATGGTGATCACCCCACGGTGCTGAAAATGCTGGAATCACTGGTGGTGCTATACAAGAAACAGAACAAGTAAGATTGAATATAAATGCATATGTATCCCCTCCCACAAAAGGGCCACTTCGTAATGCTCTTTATTGTAATAGTTTACAAGGGAGAACAAACTGAATTCTTTGATTGTATGTATAATTAGTTTGATGTCCTGATAACAACGGACATCGTATGGGAGAACAAATGTTGAGGGTTTGTATTGATTTACGTTGTGCAAGATTCTTAAAGTGGCTGTGGAGACCTCTTGATTCAATTTTTGTTGAGTCATTCCAAAAACCAGTCTGAAAGCTTCTTTGATGTTATCTAGATTACGGTGACATTATGCATGTGGACAATGCAAACTCCATAACTTTCACTGCCCAAATTACTACCAAAGCTTTCTGCCGACTATAATTTGCACCATGGATCACTTTGAAGTACGAAAACGGTGGGGAAGGTGAAGTAAAAAAATCAACATGTTTAGCACCCTGCCAGCTTTCGTTTGGGGGGCCACCTCAATTTCTTGTTTTTTAATTTTTTAAAACATGTTGGTTAAAAACAGCAAAAAATGTCAACTGATTGATTAGAAAGTGAAATAATTGCAAACCAGAAGTTCTAAAATGACGTCAGACTCTGTTGGTGATCTTTCGATCTAAGGGTTCAAACATGTCTTTGAATGTCTGCACATGGCTACGGCTGCAAATTGTGCATATGCCTATAAAAGTGGCAGCCATCTTGAAAACAAACATAAAACATCCCACTTCCTCTCGGTTTTCAAAAATCTGGATGCTGAACATGTTTTCTCTTTTTTTTTTGCTAAAGACTCACCTATATATCATCTGCATTGCAGTTACAATGAAGTTCTTGTACCTGTAATGTTTAGATTCGTGAGATATGCATGTGTAGATGATACAGATAAATCATTTGCTTGGAACCCTCAGGCATGAACAAGCCGAGCTGTTGCAGAAGAGAGTTACAGCCATACTCAAGCGCATGCAGCCCCCGCACGTCCCACCCCACCAGAAGAGTGCCCTCAATGCCCTGAAGAAGCGCAGCCTTCAGCTGCAGGAGATGGCCACAGGGCCGGACTCCCTGGAGTTGGCCAAGACGCTGAATGAGCTCGGGGTGCTGTACTACCTCCAGAACAATATCAGGTAAAGGACGGTGCTCAGTACATACAAAGCCAACACCAACACTAGTCTTGCATTTCTTCAATCATATAGCAAAATAACAATTAAGCTGAAATGTGTCCAACTTGTATGAATGTGCAGCGTGCTGTTTAGCTACAAATTCGTGTTCACTGTGTACCAACTATGAACTTGACTGCCTACTAAAACATGTTTGTGAACAGTGTAATCTTTGGTTAGACAACAATGATATTAACAAATTCTCCATTTGAAATGTCTACATATTTATTCTTATTTGAGCAATGTTGTTTGTCATGTAACCTCTAAACAAGGTTAAAACCAGATGTATTTTGATGACTTGCTATTTACTGGAGGAACTGCCATGAGATTTGACTCTAGTGTTTCAACTCTTTGCAGCAATGCAGAGCAGAGCTTCCAACGATCCTTGTCCATACGTGAGGCGTTACTGGGAGAGCAGCATCTCGACGTTGCACAGTCTTTAAATAACCTGGCGGCCCTGTACAATGACTCCAACGATCTGACGAAGGCCGGTGTCCTTTACGAGCGAGTGCTGAGCATAAGGAAATCTCTCTTGCCAGGCGACCATCCTACAGTGGTCTCGTCGATACGGAACCTGGGAATGCTGTATCGTAGACAGGTGGGTAATTACTGGGACAAGTAACTGGGCTAACCACGAGAGAGTATTGGAAACCAGTGTTATATCTGAGATGTCCAAGACCAAGATTGAGACCAAGGCATTCAAGACCAAGACCTTGAAGACTGAGACCAAGACTTCGGGACCGAGAACGAGACCAGACATTAACCACTTGCTGCCGGGAAGCCCGGTTTTGGGCATGTATTCTTTATATGCACAGCCGGGTGTCCGAAATTGGATAAAGGGAACTGGGCCTTGTAACAAAAGACCCTACTTGTAACAAAAGACCAGGCTGCTGGTAATTACCAACGTTTTTTCACTGTCAATAGCGGACTGATAATCCAGCATATTTTTGAAACAGTATACCAATGTTTGGGGCATTCAGTACAAGTGGATTACCACCGGGGACAAAAGCACTCCACCACTGCAGCGATGAGCCACACAGTACCGCTGCACACAATTTAACGTATAGTTAGAAACTGGCATTTGCAAAGTCACAGTATGACCATGTAGGCCTTATCTTTTATCACTGCTGCTCCTGCAATAAGTTCTTTTTTACACACACAAAAAAGCTGGCATTAAATTGTGGTATATGCAAAGTCTGCCATCTTTGTTTCTGATGATCTCCATCTGTTCCCCAGATTGTGGGGAGTAAAATACTGTTTAAGAACAACATCCGCGTGTGCTGTTGGCATTTGGAATCCCATTTTGCATTCATCCAACTGGGATGAACAGACTGCATGGGTGAAGGCACATCTGCATGAAAAATTTGGGTCATGTTTACTCCATGCCAGACAAATGTGAATCATTGTGCACACGTTGTTTCCTGGCATAGCTTGCAAAGTTTAATGGCCCATGTGGAGAAAAACTGAAAGCATTTCCAATATTTCCAAAGCATTTGTGAAAATACTGGTTATCCACAAGAAAATAACGGCAGCCGGTACCTCAGTAAGTTATCAACTTATTAACGTCATTTTGGGAGCATGGATTTGTGTGGCTATTCTGATTAAGCTAATTATATTGAGATTGAAGGCCAGTGTGACAGTAACTTCCCAGACCAAATCATGTGTAATTCCTATAAGTACCGGTACCTTGTTTGGGTTCTGTGTATTGCTAGTCATGCAACTGCAGAAACCATCTTTGCAACCTCTACAAGAGGCAGCCGTCTTGCTTTTTTGCCATTTAAAGCTCTGTAATAAGGCTGGAAGGAAAATAGTTTGTTCCCTTTTATCATAATTTGAATTTGTATTACTATTGCCATTCGGTCTACAGGGAACAATTCAAACATGGCAGCATCAAGATAAAGTCTATACAGCAGCCACATCATCAGCCTTCATTACACACTGGTGTTAGACACAAATAGCCATCAGTTGGCTAAAATGTTCCTTGTTTTATGCAGGGTAAATACACTGATGCTGAGCCATTGTACATTCAAGCCGTGGAAACTAAAGAGAGATGCCTAGGTGGAAATCATTCCAGTGTGGCCACAGCGTTGGTCAATCTGGCCGTAGTCTACTGCCAGCAGGTTAGCTTTTCGTTTCCCTTGGTTCAAAACTCAAAAGTTTCTCTCAATTTCAAGTGCTACAGTCACTTCAGAGAGCATGCAAAACTTGTAGAGGATGTTATTGCGCACATGATGCATGTCTGATTTGAAACTCAGGTTATGGGTGCATTAATCAACATGAGACGTTTCTGGTATATAAAAACTTGGATTGTGCCATGTCTTACTTTATACAGGATACGATATCCATCATTCAAGAAGCAGACTTATTCCATTTCTTGTGGGGTTGAAAACCAAACACAAAGATTACTATGAAGAAGAAATTCTTTCTAGTCATTGTTCAATGCCTGATTAAAGAAGGAACTCTGTCAGTGACATTAAAGTACCAATTCCAAATGTTGCAAAAAGGCATTTTACTTGAAAACAAGCTGAGGGTAATCTTTCAAAGGTGCTCGTGTTTTGAGGATTGTATTTGCTTGAACCGAAATATCACTGATTTGTAGAAAATTTCATCATATTGACAAACTATATCATGTGAGAATTTAGTTTTGCTTATCTCTGAGGCATCTTTGGGTGTTAACTGCCCTGTAGCCCAAAGGGTTAGTGTAAATCACGTAGGATCTTTTGGATTTAGCATGGTTAGGGTTAAGAGTTGATCCACTGCACGTCTGTTTGTTGTGTAGAGGAAGCACACTGAAGCCCTTCCGCTGTACGAGCGAGCACTGCGGATCTACGAGGAAAACCTGGGTCCCCACCACACCAAGGTGGCAGAGACGCTGCGCAACCTTGCCGTCCTGCGCTACGAACAGGGTGACTTCCAGAACGCTGCCACTCTCTACAAGCGCGCCATGGACATCAAAGAAATGGAGGCGGCCTTTGCAAAGAAGCCCTTCTCGCGACGATCGTCGAGCGGGGGATCGTCGGCTGTTAGGCCCATCATCCCAATGAGCCCACAACTTCTGCTCAGTGACAGCAGGTAGTGAAGGGCTGAATGTTAAGGGCTTATGCGGACTGCACCGTATAAGAAGTATAATTGAACAGCATATTCCAAGTTAACTTTATAGATCAAGAACACTTCCAGTATTTGAAACCCACATAAATGTGATAGGCTCTGGGTTCTTCATAGCCTGAAAAGTTTGATGTACCTGTACAGTATATTTCTGTTACAGTGACTAGCCAGCAGAGCTTATTTGTCTATGCAAATCATTCCGTCCAGAACTCTCTGAAATTTGTTTAAGCTGATGGGGTGCAGGTGGACAAACTTTCCATGGAGAAACTCTTGTTTGGAAACCAACCAATTCAGAGCTTGCATTATTGCATTATAATGCATCCGTAATTCAGTGGGGTTGGCAAGAAAGGTGTTGGTTCAACAATCCAATGGTCTTTTACCCAATCCAACTGCCAAATGTACCAAAGGTTGTAGTCTTTGGACCCCAACATAATAAGCCTTTTGCGAGTTAAATTTGAGTAAAATCTTGTACACTGAGTTACCTGACTGCACATAAACATAACGATTTGAATTCCCCAGACTAAAGATACTGTTGCTGTACCTCATGATTTGTGGCAAGCTTTGCATAGCAATTACCTTCTCTAGAATGGACTGGTTCCTTTGTGCCCCTCTTATCCATTGAAAACCGTGTGTCGGTGCAAGCTTGCCTCGAGTCATGAGGTACAGTATACATGTAGCGACAATGTCTTTAGTAAGGAGAAGTCAAATTGTTATGTTTACGTGAATTTTATAAAGACAGGTGTTATTCAAATTTAACTCACAAAAGGCTTATTGTGATGTCAAGACAATTACCAAAACTTCTTTGTACCTTTAACCCTAACGGTGCTGAACCCAACAAGGTTATGCAGGATTTCAATGGTCCCTAGGGGGTTAGGGTTAATGTTTAAACCTCCACCACTCAATGTTTACATGTACAATGTATTTGACTGAATATTTGTTCAAGCTCTGTTCGCCTTTACTTAATGCATCTTGACTGTCTTCCAGTATTTGTATTCTGTAAATATACAGTGTTTATTTATTCATTTATACTATATGATGAAGTTGATACATTTGTAAATAATTTTTACCTTGAATGATGCTTTTTTTTAAGAAAGAAGGCTGCAGTAAATAACCTGACAACGCTTTTACAGACAATTTGAGTGACAGGGTTTTATCCATTCTGGGCCTGACCTTATCCCCAGCTCTAAAATTCCACAGGTTGGCTGTCAATTTCTCTAGACAGTACTTGGAAGAGTACTTCATCCACACCAATGGTACAAGTGTGAAACACACAACCTTGTTCTGGGCTTGAGAGGACCAAATTCTTACACGCACAAAAACTTGGTGAAAATGTTACCCATGCAAGGATGCATATAGATGGATCCAAGTGTGTCCACACTGAGGACCAAAAATGGAAACAAAGTTTCTCTTTTTTGTAATACGATAGAACTGTGTTTGTGCCTCATGCAATTTGGGTGTACATGTAATAGTTAAGTTGTAATGGTTAAAAATTCATAAAAATACATTAGGTATACATGCTTAAAACTGCGTACGTGGCAATGCTATGGGTGTGATACACTTCCTTTGGAAAGCATGCATTTTGAAAATAGTTTTAAAGTTCAAGCAAATTTTTCCAGCATACACATATATACTGGGTGATTAAGGATACATGTGTACATGTATGTCTATACATTTACATGTATCCTTAATCACCCAGCTGAATGTGATGTTTCCCTTTACTCATGGCTTTCATGTGCTAGCCTTATTTCTGATGAAGATTATTGATACCAAATCATGCTGACACTACCTATTTGAGATATTTCCTTGAAACCTCAACATCTCTATACACTTAAAAAATTTCTAGCAGTGCTCCAAGAATCAGGCTCGCACACAGCATGAATGCCAGAGGTGCCTTAGCCACAGTTGTGAGATATTGTGGCAAGAGTTTTAAGAATTTTTTAATCACATTTTGGTCTCAACTAGACTGGTCACCTGTCTTGTCTATAATAAATATCCATCTTTGCGGTGCAACTTGTCTTGATGTATTTTATAAACTTAAAATCTAACTCTGTCAAACAGATACAATGCATGATGAATGGAGTTAAGCGGGATGTAACCTGCTTCCACAAAACGTGAGTGAAGTTTAATACCAAGTATAATTTTTCTGGTAAAATCTACAATTGTCTAAACAGAAGCAGTGACAAAGACCTTGCTTAGTTCTTACTCAATGATATGGACTCAATACACTGGCAGTGCATGTAACATGCTGATTTGGGGGGGCTTTGAAATCCTTACTCTTTGTTCAGATTTTTTTTCCTGATGGCCAGGACTTTGGGTATGTTAAGATTACGTTAAGACAAACCTATGTTGTTTTTGAGAACAGACGTAGCTGTCAATTCTGACTTCACTCTCATTCTGTGTGGGAAGTGGGCTACAAGCGCAAGTATACATTTTTATAAATAAGTAATTATGGAATGCTACACTGACATATCGTTAGAGAGACTTCATTTGTGCCATCAGCTCCTCTAAGGACTGGTTGGTGTCTGTGACCACTTCATCAGAATCCTGTAGTACAAAATGACAAATGGTGAAAGTTTATCTGAAAGTTTGGGATGTTGCTGTGGTAACCATCTGTTGCCAAGTTTATGTCACAACATTATGCAGGCGTGGCATAAAACAAGTTATCATTCAGTGTTTTGAACCTAACAAAAAAGGGCACTCTTTTTTCCAGAGATGGATTACTGGATTGGACTAATGAAACCCAACCCAACCAAATTGAACTGATTCCAACCCAGCCTAGATAGCACTATAAAACCCTAACCATGCTGAACCCAACAAGGTTATACAGGGTTTTAATGGTTCCTAGAGGGTTACAGATAAGCACCACCATCAATACAAATACATTTCTTTCAATATGATTGAACAAACTGCACCTTCGTTGTTTCATCGGGTCTGTCGTAGGCGTAAGATAAGCCAGAGGCAAGTTCCGGGGCCGCTTTTGTCTTGAGGTCATCAATGCTTGACTCATCGACCAGTGAAATACCTAGAAGAAATACAGACACACTTCTCACAGTAGACGTGTGGATGGATCAACCTCCAACCCAATTCCTACAAACTCTGCTGGGATTTTTCAAGATTTGGGAAAGTAGAACTAATCCTCTAAACTTTAATTAATGATGCACCGTGAGAGATGAAGTACAAGGAATGAGACACTGGGTTCAGAAAGGTTTCTGGCAAAAATGCCTGGAATGTGAAGCTTAAGACTTGAGACTGGACGCTTCCGTTTCACACTATCTGGAATACTGTTGTTGGATTTTAGAAGATTTTAGAAGCGTCTTATCTTAGCCCCTATTATCTAAAAGCTAACTGAAATGTTGCAGAAACCTGGACACACAAATGCTTTTTACGAAGACAAGTTTCAGCCTTGTTGGACAAAGCATTGGTAATTTGGATCAGTATTTCACATTTCTGCAAACCAGCACGAGCACAGTTTTAAAAATTGAGATTTTTGTTGCCCTCCAAAATCTTGCCATTTCATGAGACAACATGTCCAAATATTTGAAGCTGGCGATCAAGGCATTTGCAAGACACCATGCTACAAACTGAAGACCCCCCCCCTGGAAAAGATGGAGAGGTTATTTTGGAAACAATGTGTGTGGAGGGGTGTGTCCTTCCCCTATGGCCCAGCTTCTAGGGTTGAGGCACTGAACTGTGAAAATGGGCAATGGATGGCTTACCCCATTCATTGGACTCGTGTACAATCTCTGCCTCTTTCACTGCTTCCTCCAACTTGGGCTTGAGAGCTTCTTCCTTCTGCAGTTCATCAAGAAACATTTGTGAGGAAAAGAATGTTTTTAACATTGTTGTCTTGTTTTGCTGACTGGGACTTCGGTCACTCGAGTTGCAGTCTCTCTTTCATAAGACTTGAGTTGGCCTTAAGAGAGACGATGACTTGTTACTTAACATACAAAAAAATGAATTTGGACTTGAACAAACTGGAGTTGTTCAGTTGTTCACACTGACAACAACAAAAAACCAATGACTTGATTTCAGATGAGCTTTAGTAGTCTGCTGACAGTGGACAAAACATATGCTCCGAAATGTTGGGTACTCTCCGAACAACATACAAAAGAGATATTTTTGCATGGTCCACTTGAAAACCGTTTACTTGACTTTGACTTGGTCCAACAAATTGATTTTGTCTGGTTTTGTCAACCTGCAGTATACATGGAGATACAAGACGGATCGACATACTCGAAACTCCTTTTGTCTCTTCCTGCAGAAGCTGTCATCGCAGGCCGAGTTGGGCTTCATGGACATGGTGGGGAAGAAATCCTGCAGAGCGCTGTAGCCTAAGTAATGCGTGACCGACCCAAACCCTAAAAGATACCTGAACAATGCACACATAAAAAACTCTTTTTAACCTGGCCAGTCAGAAGGGACTTAATGATTATTTCTTTAAGTGATCCTTTTCTCTGACAAACTTTCAAATCTTTCCATAGTCACTAATTCAATTCATACCTAGATGTGGGATTTTTTGCTTGAGGTTTGTTTTTCTTCAATTTGTTTCCTTATTAAATATATATATATATATTTTCTTTCCTAATATCATTTCAAAGTGGTGTCAAGAGGAAAAACAATTCTGAATCACTGATGGTAAATAAGACGTTAATGTGAATAAACTTTAAACAAAATTAATTTTTTTTATAGAGAAGGCACTGCATTACTGGTGAAGCTCTTTGAAATGAGTAGGCCTGTGGTACATTTTGACAGATGAAATTGACGATTTATGTAATTAGGAGAAGATAACGTTGTGGAAACTGTTTTCAAGCATATACTGAAAGTGTACAAGAGAATGGTTTCTCAACAGGAGAGTGCTGTATTAACCCACAGCCCATTGATTTAATGAAAAATTGTATGACAATTTCAGGATTTGGTATTGATCGGTCCAAGGAGCAAAACAATAGTGGATTATCCACCAGCCTAATGGTAATGCAGAGCTATGTGTGTTAAACTATGCGTTACTCACTTAAGTGTGTTTTGTACTAGCAGGCCGGCCACCACTCCCATGGTGGTAGGCAAGCTGGCAGCACAGACACCCTCACGTTTCAGGGTCTTCTCGTCGATGTTTTCTGCTACAACAAGCGGTGGGGCACACTGTAAGAAAGAACATTATCAGGAATGGTCTAAACAGGCAGACAGAACAACTGCCTAATGACCATTTGCTATGTTTTTGCATTTTGCAAGGCGAAGTAGGTACATAAAAACACACCAAAAAAAAAAGCATTTTCTGGGACTGTTCCCAAATCTTCCAAAAGTTTTTAGATAGCTAAACTTCACTGCAAAGTCCTTTGCATTCCAACTTCCAAGGGGCATTAATTTTCGCATGAGCTAATATCGGCTGAGTATACCACTCTTCATCCTGCAAAATACTTTTGAAATCCCTCGTGGATTTTGACATAAAAGAAATGCAGTGAACTTCAGGAAAACATCATACATACACTGGGAAGGCATGCAATCTACAGGGTATTTGTAAGGTTGACAAATAAGAGAGTGCAAATCCCCTGCCTCCATTTACAGTGCTTGGTACAATTTCTTCTTACACCTGACAAAACTTGTTCCCTTTCCCTCACATTCTTGCCTGCCAACAGAGCATCACAACAGGCGCCAAGCCACTAAACCCACACAGTCAGAGGGGGAATGGACTCACCGCAAAGCAGGCCGTTTCCCCTGGTTTGACCAGCTGTATGTGACCCGAGACGGCATTTTCGCTGACCCCCGACTCAAACCAATTCTGTCCCAGTTCGTTGCATGCCTGTAACAGAACAGGCAATGGTTGTTACTTAAGGACTCATTTTCCTGCTCTCAAAAACAGACAAGGGTACAACTAGTTTCTAAAGGAAGTGTTCCTGAATTCAGCAGTGTTCTGGACCCTTAGTAACAGAGGCTTATAGGTAACCTGACTAATTTTAACCCTTGGCACATTAGAGCCCATTCACACAGGCAAGGAGTAATGAAAGAGCTGTAAAAATACTGAATACAGTGGGTTCCAACAGGACTATTTTACCTTGAGGATGGACAAACCACAAAATAGGGAGATAAACCACTGCGTTTTGAAACCTGAATGATTTTTTTTAAAGATGTCGTGCTGAAACTGCTCATTCTGGCCAGTCAGCAGTCTCATTAGGTAATCATATCACAGACTGACTAGCACGGTTGAGTGCTTTCTTGTCATGCCTTTGATCCTGTCCTGTGGGGCACTATTGCTATTTCGGCAAGTTGGTAACGTACATGGAATGATTGGAAAATTGAGAGGCTTCGTCCTTGACTGTAAACACAGACTGTTTCCTGGCATATCACTTTCAGTGAATGCTTTTCAGTAACACTCGTAGTAAATGTGCCCTTGAGGTCTAGATATGAATAAAAGTGTGCAGAGCATTATTGTGAAGTTCAAACTCTGAACTTGTGTTTGCTTACTGTTCCCAGTCTCAAAGAATGGGATAGAGAATCTGTTGGCCAAATTAATTATGTTTGCTGGCACAGTAAAAATCAGTTTGTGGCCCCTTCAATGCAATGCACAAACAGACCTGCAGGTACGTCTAATCTGTGCCATTCCCGACATTTTCTGTCACTCCTGAAACAGAATTATACGTTAGTGCACATGATGCTCACATTAATTATCACCAAATACAAGTTTTAAAAGGCTTGTGCAATATTCATTTAGTTACGACAAATTTACAACAAAGCAACCCCAGAACAGTGCACTAAGCACTCCTGCTAAAACACTCTAGGAATACTTATAATGAAACTTGACTCTCCCTGCATCTTCCCTTGTGATAAGAATGAGTGTGTGAACTTACTGTATTAATGGCCATCCTGGCTTCAAAGTTATCCACACAGCTCAGTACCAAGTCCACGCTGCCGTCCCTGTTCAGGTTTCCATGGCTACCAGCAGAAACAGCAACGACACAAAAATAATGACATTCAAAGGAAATTCAGTGGTTTTCAGTTCACTGAAACTACGGTGTTTAGTGGGTCCTGGGCCCCAACTGGATCTACAGGAAAGTGCATGTATGTGAACAAAGTGTGATTGTCATCACTACATAGGTTTGTTCTTGCCCTGAACATGTTTAGATGCATGTACATTAGGCAGAGCTAATGCATGGTTTCACATAGAAATGGACCCCCAATTTCTTGGTCCTACATACCATCCACACGTGCACCCAAGTGTGTAATTGC